TAAACATTAAAAAAATTTTTTTATAAATCTTTTTATTTTTTTTTTTATTTTTTTTTCAGAGAAGTCAAATTAACCGTAATGAACCAGCTTTACCAAAAATTGACAAAAGAGCATTATTTTTGTGTTATTTTACTCGTTTTACACAAATGTTTATAAATACAAATTTGGAAACGTTTGTTTATTTTTTAATAAAATTAAAAAAAAAATTTTCTTTTCAGTTTGGGTGCTTCTTTAGCAATGGTTTTATTTGCATGGACACGTACTGAATCTGTCAAATACTTTTCTGCAGCAGTTAATTTTTTTTGAATTTTAAAAATATTTTTTTTTTGTTTCTAGCAAGCAATAATGTCTCTTCTAGCTTTTTTAATTTATGTTGGCTTTATTATGTTTAGATTTGATAGATTGTTTGTTTATTTTTTTAATTTTTGGGGGGTCCTGGGTTCGAACCCGCTCGGGGCCTGGAATTTTTTTTCTTCATTTTTTTCTTTCTTAGACTTTTAAAAATGTGCGAACCACCTTATTTTCTGTTGCTTTTTATTTTCTAAAATAATTTTACAGACATTTATAAGCCTTTATGACCGTTTTTTGGGGGTCGTGGGTTCGAACCCGCTCAGGGCCCGGAATTTTTTTTTCTTTCTTAAACTTATAAGAATGCTGAAAGTACTCCACTTTTTATAATTTTTTATCAAGTTTTAAATAATTTTCCATAATTTTTTTCAAGTCTTCATGAACGCTGTAATGTAATTGCTTCATTATTTGCTTTATTACTATTTCATATATTGACTTATTCTTATCCGTTTCTACCTGGACATCTTACAACATATTCTAGTGAAGGTTTGTTTTTTTTAATTTTTTATATTTTTTCTAACTTTTTATTGTTTTTGAGTTTTTTGATAATGTAAAACTGTTTTAAAAAATAAGGGCGTCGAGCGGGTTCGAACCCACGACCCCTCTCACCCTATAATTTTCCTTTTTAATTTAGCCTACAATTTAAAATATTTTTTTATAAAAGTCTAAAGTGTGTTTTTAATAAAATCTGAACTTAAACTTACATTTTGTAACTTTTTTGATCATTAAAAAATAATTTAAGATGTTTAAAAAAATATGGGCGCCGAGCGGGTTCGAACCTGTGACCCCTCTTAACACATAATTTTCCTTTTTAATTTAGCCAAAAAATTTTTAAAAATAATTTTTTATGTAATATTTTTAAAAATTTATTTTATTTTCCACTTTTCATTAAAAAATTTCAGATTATCCATTTAATAGCACCGATATAGACGATGATGGTAGTAATGAAGAAATACAACATGTTGGTTGCGATACTTCAAAATTTTCTTGGTGCAATTCTGTCCGTTCTATAAATCCATTTTATTTCTATATTTGCTATATTTTATTTATTGGACTAGCTTTTCCAAGTCTCAATGTTTCGCTAAACACTTTATTTTCAAAAATTATTGGTCCTAGAAGACAAGGATTTCAACAAGGATTGTTACAAATGGCTGGTGGGGCAGCTAGAATGGTTGGACCTGTTGTTATTAGGTGCTTTTTTGGTTTAAAAATTTTTTTTAATTTTATATAAATAAAAATACACGAAAAATGATGTTTCTAATTAAAATTATAGTGTTAAAAAATACGGGCCCTGAGCGGGTTCGAACCCGTGGCCCCCGCTCCTAACCTACCTCCACTTAACCAACGATAATTATCAGATAAGCTTTTTCGAATGAGCTATAATGTAATATTCAAATGATTAATGAAAAAGAGATTGTAAGCAGGAATTTCTTTTGATTTTTTAACTCTCTCCGTGTTTAAGTGGGTAAGTGTTAGGTTTATAGGTATAGAGGGGTTTAAGATTCAAATCCCTCGTATTTTCTAGTCTTCCTAAAATGTTTAAAAACAATTCTGATTTTTCCCATGTTTTCTGGCAAGTTTACAATAAAATGCTATACGAATTTCGACTATATTTTAACTTTCAGTGTTTTATATTCCGCATATGGCCCTCAAAGTGCATGGTTAATGGAAATGGGAGTTATCTCTCTAAATTTGGCACTTCTTTTTACTTGTTATGGAAGAATGATACCTCTAACTATTCCACCAATAAAAAGAACATCAACAGCAACTTTAATAAATTCAAGTAATGGAACAACAATAATTAAAGAAAATGGAGGAGAAGAAAAATTTAAAAATGGAAAAACAAATGGAGGAATAATATTAAATTTGAAAAATGATGAAGAAATAAAAAATAAAATAATTAATGAGAGGACAAGATTAATGGAAAATAATAACGGTGAAAATGTTGGGAAAGAAAAAATAAAAAGGTGTGAAAAAATTAAAAATAAAAAGAGGGATGTTTAGTTAAAAAGGAGGGGTCGTGGGTTCGACCCCGCTCGAGGCCCGGAATTTTTTAAAACTTGGAAAATCATTTTTGATGATCAAAAAAGTAACTAAATGTATATTTCGGTTCAGATTTTATCAAAAACAATACTTAAAAACTTTTTAAAAGGGGGATTGATGGATCAAAAAGGGGTCGTGGGTTCGACCCCGCTCGGGGCCCGGAATTTTTTAAGATGTGGGAAATTGTTTTAGATGATTAAAAAAGTTGCGAAAATGTATATTTCAGTTCAGATTCTATCAAAAACAATGCTTAAAACTTTTTAAAAAGGGGGATTGATGGACAAAAAGGGGGTCGTGAGTTCGACCCCGCCCGCGGCCCGGAATTTTTTTAAAAGTTGGAAAAAAATTTTTTTAATTTTAAAAATCAATTTTTAGCATGGAAAAGTCAAAAAGAAGCGAAAATAAAAATATTGAAGAAAATAAAAGCGAAGAAAATAATACAATTAATAGAATGGCTAGTTTAGATTTGGAATAATTATTTTTATTTTTTTTGTATCTAATGTCAGGTGTATTTTTTGTTATTATTTTTGATAGGGAAGTGGAGGGGAAATATTTTGAATACTTTCTGGATGAAATTTTATTAGGAAAAAATTTTTTTTATTAAAAATAGGAAGATTTCATGGGTGACCACATTGATTAAGGAGGGTCTCGGGTTCGTCCCCGCTCGGCGCCCGGAATTTTTTTAAAAGTTAAAAAATTGTTTTTAATAAGCTAAGAAGTAACAAGAAATAAAAATTCAAATTTTTAATAGTTTAAAATCCTAAGAAAAATAAATTTAAGCGTAAATTAAATGTTTTCGAGGGGGTCGCGGGTTCGACCCCGCTCAGTGCCCTTTATTTTTTAAACATTTTAAAATTGTTTTTAGTGATCAGAAAAGATATAAATCGAATGAAACCCAAGAAAAAAATTTATGGGAGGCTTCCGGAAACAAAAAAAAACTTTAGGGGCCCCGCCTACTTCCTTATTTTTTCTCAAGCAATTAAAAATGACTGGTCATTTTCTACATATCTTTAATATAAATCATTTTTATTTGATTTCATTTTGTTGCTTTTTAAGCATTTACCTTTTATTTATTATGCATTTTTAATCTTAATGTTGCAATTTAATTAACAATAAATTTTTTAAATAAATTCATGATCACTTAATCGTGATGCCTGAGGATTTAGCGGGGTTAAGAGGACACAACATTCTTGTGGAGGATATAAAATTGTGATTTTTGTTAATGTTTGTTTCTGATGCTCATTTAATGTTTTTTTATTAAATTCTGATTTGTTTTTAACTGTTTTGATGTGGTTATGGTCCAAAAATATGACTCAAGGGTCCAGGGACTCCAATCTCCTGAAATTTGAGACTCTAGTGTCATCTAAATATACGGTTGGGGTCAATTGAGCGCCGCCAGTTGAGCGCCAGAGATCTTTGATCGGCTATAACTTTTTAAGCCTTGATCCAATACAAATAAGTTTTATATCATTCGAAATCCCTCGATTAGCGGTATCTTTTTTCCAACTGGATGGATCAAGTCTGATCACCGTTTAAAAAGTTACAAGTCGATAAGTGTGAAAAACAACGATTTCCTGCACTTATCGACTTGTAACTTTTTAACATGTGATCAGACTTGAACCATCCAGTTGGAAAAAAGATAGCGCTTATCGAGGGCTTTCGAATGATATAATAATCATTACGAGTGATTCAAGCACAAAAAAGTTATAGCCGATCAAAATCGGCTGGCGCTCAACCGGCGGGGCTCAACTGGCCCGCTCCGCTAAATATAAAATGCCAAAAATATTTTTTCAAAAAAAGACGCGCTTTGGAAAATGGCTTGAATAAACAAACATCCAAAAATTGATTGTTTTTTAGTCTTAACACAGTCTAAAATCGATAGAGATTATTTTTCCTTTCTGAAGACTTTCATTATTGTGTGATTGCTTAATTAATTTTTTTGTTTTTTTCAGATTTATTTTTAAAATTTAATTGTGTTTAAATAATGGAAAATAAAGAGAATAATAATTCAGAAAATATTTCATCTTTAAATAAGGAAGAAGAAAATAAAATGGAGACTGAAAATATTGAAAATATTGAAGAACATGAGCCTTTGACTACCAAGGTTTTTTTTTGAAATAATAGATTAATTTTTGTTTGGCCTGTGTTCATTTTAATTTTGTTCATTCTCATACGTTAATGAATATTATTTATAATTTTTTGGGGGTTAAGTTGAAAATACACGAACAAATCTGCTTAAAATCTATTAAAATTTAACTGCTTGTTTCCTTCTGAAATTTTAAGAATTTTTTTTATTTTATAGTCAAATTATATATCATTCGACTCAGCTTTAAATTCTGAGTCGATTGACACCAAAATCGGCTAAATCTGACTTGTCTGAACAAAGTTATGGTCATTTATAGTAATTTGAGGAGTATTTGTCACTTTGGTTTAGTGGGATATGTTTCGGTTTTATGTGTAGGGTTCGAATCCTCGAGTTGGAATCCTTTTTTATTTTCATATAGCAACAATAAATAATCGAATTTGAACTAAATTTAGTACATTTCCCTTCCATTCTATTTTTTTAAATCAAATTTTTTCAGGTCTACTATTATGTAGATGACCAGAAGATGCCGTATTCAACAGAAGTCCCCGTTCCACCTTCAAAAATTACTTTGTATGATTTTAAGAATTATATAACTAAACGAAGCTATAAATATTATTGTAAAGTTGTGGATGCTGAATTAAATGCGTTTGTTTTTTTTAATTTTTGTTTTTTGCTTTTAAAATTTTGGGATCTTCTGATTTATTGGGTCTAGGAAAAAATGAGAAAGTTGATTTTTATTATTTTTTAGATTGACCAGTAGGTTACCGCTATGGCGGGTCCGAATACGAGTTCAAATTTATTGACCTATTTCTAATCCCGTACCCGAATTCGAGCTGTCAGTTTCGTGCCCCAATTCTTAATGATTACCCTTATTTTGTATTTGACCAAGTCGAGTCAGGAACGTAATTCGACACAGTCTAATCCCTAACACGAATTCGAATCCAGGAATTTGAATCACGGATTAGAACTTGAAATTAAAAATGTATGGCTAATTTGCCACATCTATTTGGGTTGAGTGTTTTTTCTTGCTCTTTTGAGTGTTGCTTCTTGCTCATTTTTTCCTCAATTTAGCCTCAAATTCTTTCTAAAATTTTTTTTTAATTTTTAGAGAAGTCAAAGCCGAGATTCGTGATGAATATGAATGCTTAAAGCCTTGTGCAAATGGACGCTTTGAATTATTTCTTTTGTCGGATAATGGTTGTGGGAGAACGATTCAACGTCCAATAGACCAGAAACATCACCATCACGGATTTGCTCAAAGACAAGTTTTGGCTCCAACACATTTTCAGGTTTTACTATTAAAAATAGTCAAAAATCCAAAGAAAAATTGAGAAGAAAACGAAAAAATTTTTTTAAGTGACATTTGGTCCCAAAACTGATTTTGAGACATTTGGTCCCAAAATCCTTGTTTTAGACTTTTCTTTTTAATTTTCTTTTATTCTGTCATTTTTTTAGTCTCAAAAGAATTGTAAAGTTCGTGCGTCAATGATGGCAGGAAAACGTCCAGCATCTCACTATATTATGGAACATTCAAAATTTGTTGAAGAGGACAGCAGTCCTGAAGAGGAAAATATAACAAATAATCAATTGTTTGGAGAATCTAATTTCGCTAGTAGTCTGTCCGATGGAGATTCTCAGTTTGTTTTTTGCTTAAATAATCATATAAAAAATTAAATTTCCCTGAGCGGATTCGAACCTTGGTCTATTTTTGACTCTTATCTCCACTTAACCACACGCACAAATTTTCTTTTTTGGTTCTCAAATTTGATTTTCTTTATTTTTGTGCTAAAAATTGAAGAGATAAATTGGATACGAACTTTCTAGGTACTAGAAATTTTTTGAGACATTTGGTCCCAAAATGATTTTTGCGACATTTGGTCCCAAAAACGAATTTATCCTCTAAAATTTTTTTCCAATTTTCAGATACACAACAGACTTTACCAGTGTTTCTCAACAAAATCATTTTGCTTCTCGTTATGCTCTTCAAAACCAACATAACAATAAAGTGGCTAATTCAAAGCCTTATTGGACTCGCGAAAAACGTAAACGTTATAGACGTCAACGCTCACCTCCATCTTCTTTTCTTTCTTCTACTTTTGACGATACTGAAGTTTCTATGTCGGTGGATGTGATCACGGTATTTATTTTTAAATTAAAAAATAAAAATCTCCGAGCGGGGTCGAACCCGTACCCTTGAATATTTTTGAAAATTCCACTTAACCAAGGAGTACATTTTACAAAAAAAATTATTTTTGGTCACTGTATTTATTTTTTAATAGTTTAAAATTAAAAATCCTGGAACTGGTTCGAACCCATCCCCTTAAATTTTTTGAAATATCCCACTTAACCAAAGTGTACATTTTTTCCAAAATTAGTGAAATTTTTTAAATTAAAGGTAACATTTAATATGGATACTCGTCGTCCTTTTGGAATGTCTGTTGTCGTTAAACGAAATCGTTATTTTTATGGAATTGTTGTTCATGAAGTATCTCCAAGTTTGTTTTTTGAATTTTTTTTAAAAATTTTTATAATTAAAATATAAAAATCCTCGAACTGTTTGAACCTTCCCCTCTTGAAAATTTTTGAAAATCCCACTTAACCAATTTTTTTAATTCAAACTTTTGATCGGAAAACCCCATTTAACCAGACTATGATATGTATATGGATACAGATATTATAAAAATGCCTGCGGATATCTGTCTGTATCAGCCTGTATCTGCCGTAAATATCAGGATACGGGCAATCCAGGAGAATTGGGGTTTCTTCGAATAAAAAGTTTAAAAATAAGAAAAAGGGTTTTTCTAGGGAAAAAATATGCTGATTACGAATCTGAGCTCAGATTTTGAAAAAGTCGAATCCCGAACCCGAATTCGGAATTTGACTCCGGACATTGTCGGACATTGTACAAAATGGTCAGCACAACATTAAAAAATAATTTTTTTCTTCTTCAAGATAGTCTAGTGGCGTTGGACGGCCGAATTAAAAAAGGATTTATTTTGCTTGAAATTAATGGAATTTCATTAGATGAATATGAAACGCCTGAAGCTGCTGTTAATGTTCTTTCAACTGCTGTTCGACAAGCTGTTGAAAGTCGAGGGTTTTTTTTAATTTTAAAAAATAAAAAAAAATTTTTTCTTTATTAAAGCCAATTAAAATTAACTTGTTCTCGTGGAGATGTGCTTACACCTGCAAATAATATTTTTCGTCCACCACAATCGGAGCCTGTTAGACCTATTGACCCTACAGCTTGGGTGCAACATACTAACGCTGCGCGTGGTTTGGATGCTTTGATGATTGGTTTTTTTTTAAATATTTTTTTCTTAAGTTTTTTTGGGACTTATAGTTAGGGTTGGGGTTTTCGAGTCGGGCCGACGTTCGAGTCATTTTTTTCGGGCCGACCCGACCGAGTCTTTTTCGGGCTTTATTTTTATTGAGTCGGGCATCGAGTCTTTTTCGTGCCAAAATTCGATGCCCGACTTGATCTTTCGGATCGGGCCCGCAAACCCTACTTGTAGTGTGTGAAGGGCTGTTTCTCTATTTATTTTTTTTCTGAAATTTTTTTAAAGATTTTTTCTTTGGGTTTTGGACTTTTTTTCTGTTCTCTCGCCTAATACGAATTAATTTTCATAATTTTTTGTGAAGCAATTCCAAAGAAATAACTGAAAAATTTTCCGAAAAACAACGTTTTACTCCATTTTCTCCAATTTCGCATTAAAACTTTTTTTAAAATATAATTTTTTGTTCTTTTTCAAGCTCCTCCAGTTATCTCTCCATCTATGCTAATTCCTACAAAAACTTCAATTTATGCAAATGCTATGGCTGCTGCAAACAATAATAATAACAACATAATTGCTGCTGTTGGAAAAGGTTTTTTTTAATTAAAAAAAATTTTTTTTAATATTAAAAATTATTTTTTTAATTGAAAATTTAAAAGAAATTTCAAGAAAAAATTTTTAAAACGACAGAAAAATTTTTTTTTAATTTTTCTCTGCCGTCTCTCATTTTCCCATACTATTTTTTAATCTTTTCCTTTTACAGCAGCAGTAATAAACTCAACAAATTACCACCAACAACAACAACATTTTATTCCTCAACAACAAACACAACAACAACAAATCATTACGTCAGACGGCTTAAAACTTATAAAAAACCCATCGACAGAGATAACAACATCTTCCGGAAATAGTTCATTAGAATGTTCGATTGGGCAAAAACATGTTGAGTTAATAAAACAACAACAAACACAACAACACGAACAACACGAACAACAACAATTAAATTTAATCCAAACATGTTCCGGAAAGTTTTCCGGAAAACAATTAAAACACGAACAACAATTAAATTTAATCCAAACATGTTCCGGAAAGTTTTCCGGAAAACAATTAAATTTAAAAGAAGAAAAGAAACAAACAACAAAAACATCAACAAAAACAATGTTTGGAGGAGGTAAAAAAGTTGGTAATGGAGGTGGGGGTGGGGGAATTGGAAATGTTTTGAGACGCTTATTGTGTGTGCATTCAAGTGCAAGTCCGCAAAGCAGTAGTGATGACAATAAAAATAAGAAGAAAAATATTAAAAGAAGTGCTTCTAATAAAGAAGGAAAAGGGAAAAAATAAAAATATTTTTTTTTGTGGCAAATTTTAATTTTTTTTTCAAATTTATTTTTTTAATTGCCATATAATTTCTATATATTTTTTGTAATTTTGTTTTTTTTTCAAAATTATTTTTTTGGTATTATCCCAATTTTATTAAGATTTATGCCATAATTTTTGATGAATCTCTGGTAATATTCAATTTCGTTCCCCCCCTCTTTTTTTCCATCCTCAAAGTATTAAAAAATGGTCAGTCTGACTAAAATTATAGAACTCGTCGAGCTGAGTCGAATGACACCAAAATCAAAAAAATCCGACTTGATTTGACCGAAATACAGACCCTGAAAATTGAACAACCATGGGGGCGAAAAACCATAAAGACTAAAATTTATACAAATGATAGCTCATTCGAAAGAGCTCGTCGAGCTGAGTCGAATGACACCAAAATCAGCGCGATTGGACAAGATTTGACAAAGTTATGACGTAAGTCGTCGACTCCATTAGGTCTACACTTAATGTCATAACTTTGTCAAATCTTGTCCGATTTCGTTGATTTTGGTGTCATTCGACTCAGCTCGACGAGCTCTTTCGAATGAGCTATCATTTGGGTAAACTTTTTTTATTTCGAAAAATCACCCCCATGGTTGTTCAATTTTCAGGGGTCTGTATTTAGGTCAAATCAAGTCGGATTTTTTTGATTTTGGTGTCATTCGACTCAGCTCGACGAGTTCTATAACTTTAGTCAGACTGACCATTTTTTAATACTTTGAGGATGGAAAAAAGAGGGGGGGGGAACGAAATTGAATATTACCGAATCTCTTTCTCTCCCTTCTATTTTTTTTATAAATATTTTAAAAAATATCAGGAAAAATTTTTCAAGTCGGAGAGCTTCCATTAAAAAAAAAGAAAAAATTTTAGTTAATTTTGGAATTTTTTTTTTGAAAATTTTTTCAAGTTAAAAATTATGGGAATAACCATTGCGCGTCTTTAAAAACATTCTCTCTCTTATATTTCACTTATATATTTTTGTTTTTAAAATGAACATTAAACTCTTAGAATAAATTTGTAAAACATTTTGTGTTTTAATTGTAGAACATTTGTTAGAGAAAAACAACTGAAAAATAAGCTGAAATTCCGGAAACAATAGTCAAAACATATTAAAACATAATACAACTTTCCGGAAAACATGTTAGAGAACTTGTAAAAACACTTGTTAGTTGCAAAACATTCCGGAATTCTTATTAATTTTCCGGAAAACATTTTAAAGTTCCGTAAACATTTTAAATTTTCCGAAAACATTTTAGATTTTCCGGAAAACATTTTTAATTTTCCGGAAAACATTTTAAAGTTCCGTAAACAATTTACAACTTTCCGGAAAACATTTAAAAAATTGTAAAACCTTTAAAACTTGTTAATTGTAAAACATGCTGATTTTTTTACAACTTTTCCGGAAAACATTAAAAACACACTTGTTTGTTTTGTTGTTGTTTGTAAGTTTTGTGTTTGTGTTTATAAAGTGGTATTGCAGTTAGAGTGAATGTCTTGAAAACAACAAAACAACACCCCTCAAAACTTCATATAAAAGCCCAATGTTTTCCAAACACTCAAACCTACATACACAACTGTTACAAGTCGTCAAACAAAACGCTCTCTTCACATCCTCTCAACGTGCTCGTTCAAACAACAACAACGCAACAATAATGTCGCCATCAAGGACTTTGGTGCTTTGGTCGCTTCTGCTGCTGCTGCCGTTGATTGTTTCTCTCCCATTCGACAACCTGAACAAACATGGGCTTGAACTTGCTGAACATGCAGAGGGACCCCAAATGGACGCTGAAGATGAAAAAGTAATGGGCGAGGTGGAGTCTGCGGTCGACAACTTCAAGATGCCATCAAATCCATCGAAAGTGATACCTGCTGGTGCTAGGAAGGGCCTGGGAAAAGCAAGGAAGGCATTTGGAAAACATCTTGACGAAGAACTTCAACAGGACGAGCCGCCGCCGCAGAATCCACAACCGAAGGAAGGTGACCCAGCAAAGAAGCCTGAGGGGGATGGTGGTCAACAACCGAAAGTGCCTGAAGGAGAGTCGACACCACCACCTGTAGATCCAACGGACCCGCCTCCATCAAATGCGTCATTGGACGGAGGAGGGGTAAATTTTAACTTCTTTCTAGTCCTAATCTAATTTTGAATTTTAATTTTAACAGGGCGGAAATGATACAGAGACAACGCCACCAGTTTCGGGCAACTCTACAACGTCTGGGCCTGAGACTACATCAGAAGGCGCACCGGGAAGTGACCCGTCAGGCGAGCCGCCAGTGGAGAAAACAGACCCGCCAGTGGTGGGGGGATCTTCGATTGCTCCTCCTTCTAAGACTTCTGGCAAGCCTCCACCTCCTTCAACAACAACAACCACTACACCTGCTCCAACAGAGAAGAGTGGTTCGGTGATAGTCATTGTCATTATCGTTGTTGTGTGAGTTTTCTCAATAAAATTTTCAAAAAAAAATTTGTTTTTAAGGCTTCTGTGTTGCATTGTCGGAATTGTTGCTTTCTTCCTTCTCTCAGGCAAAAAATCGGAGGATGAAGGGAAGGAAGGGGACGCTGAAGCGGGGACCAAGTCTAGTGCTTCTGCTGCTGGCGGCGCGGAATCGGAGGCGAAAACAACCGAAGGAGCAGATAAGAGCGCAACGGAGGAAGGCTCGAAGAAGGAAGACGCCGAGAAGAAAGATGGGGAAGGTGAAGAAAAGACGGCTGAATCTGCGGCTGATGAGGGAGGTGCTGGAGGGACGACTGGAGAGGAAGGAACGGCAAAGGAGGCGGGAACTGATGCTGAAGATGCTGCTGATGATTCCAAACCTGCAAGCACGGAGGGTGGCGAAGATGAGGGAGAGGGAGAAGGCGACGAGGAAGAGGTGAGTAAATAAAACTTTTGTTTTTCCGGAATGTTTTGTTAAATGTTTTCCGGAAAATACAAAATAAACTTGTTTTTCTGTCTAAAAACTTTAATATTCTGAACATGTTTTTGAATGTTTTCCGGAAACTACAAAATGAACATAACAGTCTAAACAAAACTATGTTTTTCCGGAATGTTTTTGAATGTTTTCTGAATGTTTTTCGGAATGTTTTCTGAATGTTTTCCGTAATGTTTTTGAATGTTTTCCGGAATGTTTTTGAATGTTTTCCGGAAACTCTAACAAACCAAAAACCTTTTAATACTTCCCCTTTGTTTTTCTAGTAATGGTTGGACGCAAGCTGGGAATGGCGGCAGCGCGAATCATCTACAGTCTGAAGAGCAAAAATTGGCACATCCACATAAATCTGAGGGAGAAAAACAGGAATGAGGAAATCAGAAAGATATATATATTTTTTGCAAAGATTTCCCTCTATAATATATCCAAAAACCCCTCTCATATCCCTTATATATTTTTTCCCTCTAATATATCCCCTCTCTTCCCCATGATTTTGTTTGTGTATGTATTAGACTCATAATTACTTTGTTATTCCTCATATATATGTAGTTGTTTGTATTGGATGCGCGTATTGTGATAATATTCTCTACCCCTTAAATATTATTGTATTTGCGCACATTTTGTATTGTCGCTGCCTATTGTATATATGTTGTGTTGAATAAAATAATTAAAACTTTGTTTTTGTGTGTTTAAGGTTTTTGTGTTTTCCGGAAAGTTGTAAATGTTTTAGTAGTTTGTTTATAAACTTGTTTTCCGGAAAGTTTTGAATGTTTTGAAGTTTGTTATGTAGCAATGTTCAGGGTTGTGTTTTTAAAGTTTTGGTGTTTTCCGGAAGACAAATGTTTTAGTAATTTGTTTTTAAACTTGTTTTCCGGAAAGTTGCTAAATTGTGACTTATTTAATCAGGTTCCTTGGTGTTTTCCGGAAAGTTGTAAATGTTTTAATGGTTTTAATGTTTTTGAACTTGTTTTCCGGAAAGTTTGGAGTGTTTTTAAAGTTTTAGTGTTTTCCGGAAAACATAAATGGTTTTAGTAATTTGTATCTGAACTTGTTTTCCGGTAAGTTGTAAATTGTGACTTATTTAAATAGGTTTTCCGGAAATGTTTTCCGGAAAATTGTAAAACATTTCTACAATGATTTAAACAAGTTTTAATGTTTTCCGGAATTTAAGTTTTTCATTATGTTTTAGTCATTTAAATAGTAATGCTTTGTTTGTGAATATATCGAACACTCGCAACTCTCTTTTTCTTCAAGTTTTTAATATCGTTTGTTGTAATATAATGTTTGACTAAACATGTTGCGCATAACGAACATATTCCAATGCCCAAAACAATTGCTAACAATGTTATTAGAAGACCTTAAAAAATATTTTTTTGAATTTTTTTTAAAATAAATTAATTATACCCAAATTATTTTTTCTTTCAAAAAATTTATTTCCGTCCCAAGGTTGAATTTTGTTTATTTTTTGAGTATTATTTAAAGTAATATTATCGCTCCCATAAAGTATAGTTGCCAACACTTAATTAAAAAACATGTTTTAGTGTTTTTAAAGTTATAAATGTTTTCCGGAATATTCTCTCGAATTTCCGGAAAACATTTTAAACACCTTCGTTTTCATTAGAATTTATATTTTGTGTTGAATTAATAATTAATATTTTTAATAAAATTAATATTTTAAATAATAATTTAAATTTTTTCATAAGAATTTTAAAAAATTAAAAAAATTATTAATAATTTTTATAAGAATAAAATTTGAACGAGACATGGAAGTAAGCGTATTACTCATATAAAGTAGCGTTTTATCCTAAAACATGTTAGTCATAATTTTAGTTATATGTTTATGTAAATGTTTTCTGGAAGATCAATTCTGAACATGTTTAGGCTATAAATGTGTTTTTAGATGTTTTTTTAAATGCTTGGATGTTTGTGAAACTTTGAAACTTGTTCATTTTATAATTAAACTTTAAGGAAGGTGTTTGCAGGAAAAATGTTTTTTTTTAATTTTTCCGGAATGTTTGTTTGATGTTTTCCGGAATGTTCGTCTGATGTTTTCCCGGAATGTTTCTCTGATGTTTCTCCGGAATGTTTGTCTGATGTTCTTCCGGAATGTTTTTCTGATGTTTGTGAAACATCTAAAAATTGTCTACTATACGAAAAATGTTTTTAGATGTTTCTGGAATGTTTGTAAAGTTTAAATGTTTTCCGGAATGTTTGTTGATTTGTGAGACTTCCTCAAACATGTTTAGTTTATAAAAAATGTTTTCCGGAAACTTAAACAAAACTTATTTGATGTTTTACCATATTTTCCGTAAATCTTTTTGTGTTTATTTAAAATGTTTTTTTTCTCTTTTTCCCTCTATTGTCATTTCTTGACTTTTACTTTACTTGTTTTAATAGCATATGGTGCAGAAATAATGTCAAGACGAATAATGAGCGCAAAGGCGCTTTAATTGCCCATAAATCGACACAATTCCACAATACAAAAATACCATCAAAATTTATTCTATCGTCGAGAAAAAAAATTTTTTTGGGGAAATTTTTTAATTATTTGATTTGAAGAGATGATAATGAAAACAACAAGCAAAAACTGTAAGGAAGAAAATTTACAATAATTTTTTTTTGTTTATTTGACTCGTTTATTTACACAATTAAATTGCGCAATCTGTCCTCTTATTTCTCGACCTCATTTTTTATTTTTATTTTATTTTTAAAAAATGGTAGATGATTATGGGAAAATGGGTTTAATGACTAAAAATAATTTTTTTTAATTTTAGAAAAATAAAAAAAAATTTTTTAAATAATTTTATTTTAAAGTACAAATAAAAAAAATAATTTTTTTGAAGGACGACTTTTTTTAAGATGTAATAATATAGTATTATTATTATTAGCTGCTGCCATATGTTTGGGGTAATATTCAAAAATATTTAATATTTTTATTAAGTAAAGTGAACCGCGCGCATTTTATTAAAACGAAGGATGTGTGAAATAATATAAAAATATATAATTTAATAATTATTTATTAAATTAATGAGAAATTGAACAGCTCTAGAAGGTCAAAAGGGGATAAATAAAGGAGAAAAAATGTGTTGTTTTTAATAGTACATTTGATTTGTTTTGTAAAATGTTTAGAAGGTTTAGATGTTTTTCCGGAAGATGTTTTTATAAACTTGATTTATAATGTTTCAATGTTTTCCGGAAAGTTTTTCTGAAAATGTTTTTAAGAACGCGATTTATATTATTCGAATGTTTTCCGGCAATGTTTTTCCGGAAAAGTTTATAGTATAAAGAAACTTTTCCAGGTTTTAAATTTATACACAGTATTTTCGTTTGTTTATTCTATGTATTTCACATTATAAAACAAAAACTTGATGATACAATGCACATTAAAAAATACAAGAAAAATACAAAATACGAAGAAATACAAAAGTTTTACAATTATTTATTAAAACATTTTATTAAAGTTTATTATTTTATTATTCTAAACTTCCTCTTTTGCAACCTTTTTTACAATCTCTTCATTTTCCTCAGTTAAAACGTGTTTTCGTTTCCCAAGTTTTCCAGTGAAACTCGAAGCATTTTCTTCTTTTAATTTTTCTTTTTCTTTTATATTTAAATCTTCTTCATTTTTTATTAATCCAGAAAATGTTTTTATTTTATTTTCATCAATTGTTTCTGTATTTGATAATGTTGTTGTTGTTGTCGAGGTAGATAATGTTGAAGAAGTACTGGCAACGGAAGAGGAGGAATTGGTAAAGGGGGAAGAGGAATTAATTGATGTTGTAATTGGGATATTAGGGGTAGAAAGAAATGCTGGCAGTAAACGATGCATTAAATAAGGATTGGAAGCAAATTGTGACAGTAATGGAGCCCAGTAGAGAGGGTCGCTGCGTATTAAGTTTTGCATCTAAAATAAATAAAATAGAGAAAATAAAGGAGGAAATATGTATAATAAGTATATAAAACTTTCCGGAAAACAAGTTTTAATTTTACAAATTGTAATATTTTTCCGGAAAACAAAAATAAACTTGAAATACAACCTTAATTAATATTACAAATTGTAAAACAAAACAAATGTTTTCCGGAAAATGTTTTGTAAACTAATGTTTGTTTAGATAACAAACATTTGTTGTTTTACAAATTCTACAAAACATTTTCCGGAAAACAAACTTGAAAACGTTCCGGTAAAACATTTAATTAACAAAAACATTTAATAATTAATAACCATTATAACTTGTTGTTGATCATTAAGCATATCTGCACTAGTTTGTTCTTGCCGTTTCCACTTTGTTCTGAAATTTTTTTATAAAATTCTTATTAATTTTAAAATTAATATTTTTTGATTTTTAAATTTATTTTTTAGTAAAAATTTTCAAAAAAAAAATTATTTTTTTTAAATATTTTTAAATTTTTTAAAAATCCTCCCCTCACTTAAATAATCACTCTTTAAAAATCCAATTTTACCCCCAAAAAATAAAAAAAAATCTGAAAAAATATATAAATCATCACCTAATCCCCTTTTGACATGCAATTGGCCCTACGATGGCCTTTTCACTAAAAACACAAATTTATTTTTAAGCCTAACAATTTTCTAATACCAATTTGTGCTTTTAGAAGAGTGTGATGATACTCCCCTCTCATCCTAACAATTTCCTCCTATTTTTTTGACTAATTCAAATGACAACTCTTAAAATATATTTGTGTTTTTGCTTCAATGCTTTTTAAACATGGTGCCGCAAAAATAGGTTTATTTATTGAGAAAGGAAAGGAGAGAATTAATGATTTACTCTAAAACATCACTTAAATTATAGAAATTAGGAGAGAAAGAGAAAGAAAGTTTGTTTTAAAAAATTAATTGTTGTAAAACATGAAACTTTCCGGAAAACAAAGAAAAACAAATAAAACAAAATAAACTTGGAATACAACACTTTCCGGTTACTATCCGACACAAACATTTACAACTTTCCGGAATAATATAATAAACTTGAATAAACACAAAATAAACCTGAAATACAAATCCGGTTATAATACTAAAACATGAAACTTTCCGGAAACGCAAAATAAACTTGGAATACAACTCTTTCCGGTTACTATCCGTTAAATAACACACATTTACAACTTTCCGGAAGAATATAATAAACTTGAATAAACAAAAAAATAAACCTGGAATACAACTTCTTCCGGTTATAATACTAAAACATTAAACTTTCCGGAAAACAAAAAATAAACTTGAAATACAACTCATCCCAATTACAACTATCCGGAAAACAGAACAAACATTTTTACAACTTTCCGGAAAACACAAAATAAACTTGGAATACACCCCTTTCCGGTTATATGTATTATAATAAAAGAAAAAGGAATTGAAGCATTCTCATTGAAGCATTAATATTTATTTATTTTAGTCATTAAAGATTTTGGGGATTTTTGGGGATGCTTTTTCTTGTATTATTTTAGTGAATAAATTAGTGAAAAGAAATAAAAGAATATAAATTTCTCTCACTCAAAAAGGAAACAAGCGGGAAGTTTATTTGAAGCTTATTTGGTTAAATAAAAATAAAATTACTGTAAAAATGAGGGAAAATAAAAGAGAAATTTTGTTAGAAATTCCAAAAAATTTTTAAAATTAATTAAAAAAAATTTTTTTACCTTCTATTTTGATACCATGTTTTCACTTGAGTATCGCTCAGATTCATTCTTCTAGCCAATTCCATTCTATCAGTAACAGATAAATAACTAGAAAAATAAATTTTAATTAAACTTAAAAAAATATTTATTAAAATTAATAAAAAAATAAATTAAAAAAATAAAGTCAAAAAATAAAAAAAAATAAAAAAAATTCAAGACTAAAAAAACCCTTACCGCTTATGTTCAAACATTGTTTCCAATTCTTGCAATTGTTTGTCAGTAAATATTGTTCGCGCTTTTCTTGCCTTTTTTCCTCCAGAAACACAACAAGTATTTGTTGAGTTTCTTTTATTTGGTGTTAATGTTGTTATGGGTGTTGTTGTTGTTGTTTCACTAGAGGATGAATGGGGGGATGTTTGTGAGATTCTCATGTTTTCATAAAATTGTTGTTGTTGTTGGTTTGTTGATGTTTGTTGGGATGGGGAAATGTTGCAATTAATTTCTGAAAAAACATTCAATTTAAATGTTTTGTTTTAATGTTTTTTTCAATGTTTGTTTTAATCCAAGTTTATTTTGTTTGTTTCCAAGTTTGTTTTCTGTTTTGTTTAAAGTTTGTTTTCAAACTTTGTTTTAATTCAAGTTTATTTTCAAGTTTTGTTTTAATTCAAGTTTATTTTGAAGTTTATTTTCAAGTTTTGTTTTAATTCAAGTTTATTTTTAAGGTTTATTTCCAAGTTTGTATTTTCAAGTTTTAATCCAAGTTTATTTTTTTAATTCCAGGTTTATTTAATATAAAGAGAAAATACAAGTAAAATACAAAAGAAAAAGAGTTAAAGACACACGACAAAACACAAACAAGTTTAATTATAAGGCGGTGTTTATTTAAAACCAGTGAAAAAAAGAAAAACAATTTGTTTGTTTCTTTTAATGTTTTTAAGGCGGCAAATGTTTTAAACAGAAAATTAAGGTGTTTAAATACAAAGAAAACAACATAGTAGTCGTTAGAAGAAAATAGGTAGGGTAATAGGTAGTTTTACTGACTGCCAGCCAATAAAAAAATTTTTTTTTGAAAAATAAATTTAAAAAAATTTTTAATTAATTTTAAATTAAAGAATATATTCTTAAATTTATAAAAAAATAAAAAAATCATTTTTAATTTAATTAAAAAATAAAGATACTAACAAAAATCACCCTAAACCCTCATATCTCTTTAAAAAAATTTTTTCTAAAAATTAAAAAAAAAATTTTTTTTAATAAAAATATTATTTTTACTAAATAATCCAATTTGCACTGTATTTATTTCCGCCATTTTTCTATATAATTTTGAATGACTTTTTTAAATAAAAATAAATACACGCGTCATCTCACTAACTAACTACCTAAAATCCCTCATTCCCTCTCCATTATATCCAAATAAACAAAATAAAATAAATATATCCCCCTTTTTAATATTTAACTAAATATATATAATTTTTGCGAGATAATTTTACGCATATTACACCCCCCAGAAAAATAGAAAAGAAAAATTTGTCCATTAAAAAAAAATTTTTTTTGTTATCCACAACTAATCGGCACACAAAATATTTTGATTTTTCGATGAGTTGGAAAGGATTTTCTCTCTCAGAAAAATAATTTTTCTAAATAATTTAAGTTAAATGTGAAATCTCTCAATAACAACACACACACCTTTAGGGCCATGTTTTGCTGACGTAATATAAGTAAAGTTATTGTAGAGCGTGGGAAGTCAAACCCGGCTAAAAAACATGTCCTTAGAGGCCGAGTTGACAAATGAGGGAAAACGAGGCGTAAGAAAGGGAAGTCTCTTAACTCTTAACAGTTTTGTCCAACAAAATTCCTTATCCCAACCATTTTTATTTTATTTCAGACTTGGTAATGGACATGGGTTTTGGTATCTGTATCCGGGTTTTGGTATCCGTAACCAGGCGGATATCCGCATGCATTTTTAAATTATCTGTTCCTGTACCAATCACCAAGACTGTTTTAATTTTGTTCTCTTCTCCATTCACTCGTACAAAAAAAAGTTTTTTAGGGTTCACGGAGCAAATACAACAAAACAAGACATGTACTATAATGTGGGAAAAAAAGAAGACAGGTGTCTCAAACAAAAAAAAGTATTTATTACAATAACTGTATTTTTTGTTGATTTCTCGAGAATAATAATAATAGTAAAAACATTATACGAGCAATTAAATACTTTAAAAAAATAATTTTTTTGGGAGAACAACGAGACGGGAATGAGGGAAAGAGGGACGGGAAGGAGAGTTTAGAGAACAGTTAAATATAATAACTGATTTTTTGTTACCCATTGTTTTTGAAGGAAAATAAATAATAATAAAATCCAAATCATTATTATTTTAAGTATTTTAGAGGAGAGGTCAACTAGAAAAACAGAGGAGGAAGGGAACCCCAAAATTAAGAATACAATAATTTTATTCGTATATTAGCAAATCTTTTTTGGTTACATACAGAGGTGGGTCGGAATTCCGATTTCCGAAAAAAAATTTGATTTCCGATTTCCGACTTTGTAGCCAGTTCCAATTTCCGGCTCCTCAGATCTCCGACACCTCTGACTGTTTTGACCCACCTCTGGTTAGATGTACCGTTTATCCCTCAAAATTTTTTTAAAAAATCCCAAGCCTTAAAAAATTATTTTTTAAATATTGCCTGAGGGCATTTAAGTAAATATTAGCTTAATTAATCCCATTATTTTTAAAATATGTAATTTTTTCTTCGTCATTTATTTGCAAAAGTTAATACCCCCTCCCTCCCTCTTTCCTCTCTTAAATCCTATTAATCACCTTTCCTACCTCTTCCCTCAATTATTATTTAATTTGTTACTAATTCCTCTCTTCCTCTCCCTCTCTAAAATCCTTCAAAAATTAATATTTAGGCAATTATTTTTTTACAATAATTTTATTTTTTAAGTGGATTATTAAAAAATCATTTACTTGTATTAAATTAAAAATTAATTCTTAATCTTTAATCAAATTAATTTAAAAAATCCAAATCCTATATTTAGACTTAAAAGCCTATACAAAAATTAAATTTAAGTTCAATTCCATCCCTCCCAAAAAATTTTTTACCTCCTGAATATAGTACAAAATTCCAATTTCTCTCCCCCATTAAGGATGGCGGTTCCTGGGAAATTTTCGAATATTCAGAACCGGAACCGATATCCGAACTGAAGATTTCAGATATACGGGGTTTTTTCGGTTCAGGGTACCCGGAACCGCCAACTTCTCCCTCTATTAATCACTTTTTTAAATATCATTTTTTATTTAATAAATTGTTCACCTTCCCTCCTTTACCTCTCAATTTACTAATAAAACACCCTAATTTATACTCAATTAATTGTCTCTTTCTTTCTATTATACCCTTGGGAATTGGATTAATTGGGGGATTTTTTCCTCTTAAAATTGTATTTATTTTATTTATATATATTTAGTTAAGCCGCCCCAAAATCCGTGTGTCTCCCCTTCCCTCCCTCCCCTACCCCCTCCCTTCCTTCCCTTCCCTCCTCTCTCTTCCCTCTCCTCCCTTCCTTCCCTTCCCTCCTCTCCCAATTTTTCTTCCTCATTGATACAAAATTAAAATAAAAGTGTGAATACTTAAGAAGTTTGTGGAGGTAAGTAAAGAATAAAACAACCAATTAGCCCTAAGGCAATTTAAAAATAATTGAATGAATTGAGGGAAAATTGAGAGAAGGAGAGGGAAGGGGAAAGAAAATAATTAGAAATAAAAGAAAAAAATATAATGGAAAAGATTTCCGCTAAAATGGGTCAAAATCGTAGTATTTAAAAAATATAAAATGTCTTTTTTTTGTTACAATTACAGTAATTTATTTTTTGAAGAAGAAGAAAGTGAGACAAAATTAAAGTATGGTGAAAATTAATAGTATTTTATTGTTCTAATTTTTTAAATAAAATTCTGATTTTTAGAAAATAAATTCTGGTTTTTAGAAGTAAAATTCTGATATTTAAAAATAAAATTCTGATTTTTAGAAATAAGTTCTGGTTTTTAAAAATGAAATTCTGATTTTTAGAAAATTAATTCTGATTTTTAAAAATGAAATTCTGATTAAAAAAAATAATTCTGATTTTTAAAAATAAATTCTGATATTTAAAAATAAATTCTGATATTTTTTTCTGATTTTTGAACAAATATTCTGGTTTTTAAAAACTAAAATTCTGATTTATTTAACTAAAATTCTGATTTTTGTACAGTAATATTTTTTAAATTTCCCCCTTACCTTCATTATCCTCCCCATTTGCCAAATTAAAAGCATTAGAAGGTACAAATTGTTTATCCAACATTAACATCATTCCTGGAGGTTGTTGTTGTATTCCCCCAGTCATTTGGGCAAGTAAATTTTGAACTGAAACAAATTGTTGTTGTTGTTGTTGGAAGGAAGAAAATAAAAAATTGTTTTTATTTTTGTTTTTACGTTCCACTAATTCCTCCTCCTCCCCCTTCTCTTCTTCTGCTTTTTCTTCAGAATTTTGTTGTTGCGTTTCTTTGTTTGAAATAATTGTTTCTATACGAAAAGAACTTTTTTCATTTAATAACGATGTTTTTAATGCTGGTTGTTGTTGTAAATATGGATCAGAACAAGTTGGGAAATGTTTTGTTGATATTCTGAAATTTAAGAATTAATTGTATTTATTTGTTCTGATTTATATAATTAATAATTCTGATTTTAATAATTCTGATATTTCAAGTTTTCCGGAAAGTTATAAATAATTCTGAAAATAATTCTGGTTTCCGGAATTTTTCCGGAAAGTTTTTAATAATTCTGATTTTAATAATTCTGATAATTTCAAGTTTTCCGGAAAGGTATAAATAATTCTGATTTTAGTAATTCTGATTTAATTCTGATAAGTTTTCCGGAAAGTTTTTAATAATTCTGATTTAATTCTGATAAGTTTTCCGGAAAGTTTTTAATAATTCTGATTTAATTCTGATAAGTTTTCCGGAAAGTTTTAAATAATTCTGATTTAATTCTGACAAATTTTCCGGAAAACTTTTAATAATTCTGATTTAAAAATAAAAATTAATTCTGATTTATATAAAATAATAAAGAATAATCAGAATATATAAACATCAGAATTATAAAATATATTCTTCTGATTTTATAAATTTATAATTATAAATACAATAATTCTGATTTAATCTACCTATTAGCATTATTTGCATTTTCTGATTTAATTGAAAGCGGCGGCGATAAAATTAATTTCTGACCAGTTGTATTAGAAGCAAAAAGTCCATTTACTTAAAAATTAATTTTAATTAAATTTAATTAAATTAAATTAATTTTTTCTACCATTTAATTGATCACAAAAAGAATTATTATTATTATTATTAGAATTAGGCGGAGAAGAAGACATTAATAAAGCAGCAGCAGCGGCCATGCGCGGGTCGAAAATCATTTTTAAAAATTTTTGAAGCCTCAAAAAAATTTTTTTTGAATTTTTTTGAATTTTAAAAAATTTAATTTTTATTTATTTTTAATAGAAAAAATTTTTTTTGAAATTTGAGAGAAGAAAAAAATAATTTTTATTAAATCCACATAATAATTCACATTCATTCTATTATTAATTTTATAATAATTAAAGAAGGAAGGTCAAAAAATAAAAGAGATTAAATAAATAAAAACTATTTTATATTTAATTGTTGACGGATTTGACTTTATGGGAAATTTTAAAAATAAAAAAATTAATACAAAAATGGTATGTTTCAAAGAAAAAGAGGAGGAGAAGAAATCAGAAACTTAAATTAAATCAGAAAAAAAATTATTTAAAAATCAGAACCAGAAAAAATTTTTAAAATTTACATGCCTTATTTTTAGAAAAATTAAAAAAAGATTCTCTTAAAAATTGACAGAAATAAAAATATATGTATGTATATAAATGGAAGCAATTCATGAAAGGCACATAAAATAGACTATAACTATTTAATGGGTGGAGTAGAAGGCGTGGCCTATACGCTCTTTTTCTATTTTAATAATACTGTCAAATGGTGTAAAAGGGAATAAATGATTTTAAAAAATCAGAATTAAGTATAATTAATTAGAGTTCTGATTTACAAGTAATTCTGACTTTTAGTAATAATTCTGAAAAAAAATTCTGATTTTCTTAAATTTCTGATTTTAAAATTCTGATTTAATAAAAATTCTGATTTAAAAATAATTCTGGTTTTTAGTAATAATTCTGGTTTAAAAATAATTCTGATTTTTATATTTCTGATTTTAAAATTCTGATTTTTAAAAATAATTCTGTTTGATATGTTCTTATTTTAAGTTTCTGAAATAACAAATATTCTGATATTTAATAATTCTGATAATATTCTGGTATAATTCATTTATTTAATAATTCTGATTTTTATTAAATAATTTTATTCTGATATTCTATAGTGCTATAAAATAATAAATATTCTGATAATATTAAATTAAAATCAGAATTATTAGTTTAATACACCAATAATTCCCCTTATTATTAACTTTAATTGGTTAAAAAAATTTTTTCTCAATTTTAAAGAAATAAAAAGGGTAAAATTACTTATTTTTAAATTCACACAATTTTCTTCCGAACAAAATAAAATGCCTTTTTAAAAATAAATATTTCAAGCAATTAAGTAGAAGAAGGCGGAACCAACCCAAGTCTTTCTCTGTGACACAATAAGAAAGAAAATTTTAGGAAAGAAAATTGGTTGTTTAATTGGATTGAGGAGAGTTTTGGTTAAGTTAAGGTTGTGTTTGAGTGAATATAAATTTTTATTTTATTTCTTTAATTGTTGAAAAAATTTACTTTTATAGGAGATATACTTGGAAAATAAATTGACGCATTTTTCGCGTGAAAATTAGAAAAAATAAAGAAAATAAAGAGAAAAAAGTATTTTAAAAATATATTTAAAGAATTTAATGTCTAAAATAAATTAGCAAATATGTAAGAAAAATTAAAAATTAGAATTTTAATTAATTTTGTGCAGGCAAAACAATGTGCACCACTAGTGAGCGCAACAATATATAATTAATTATATTCTGACTAAATCATATTCTGATTTTAATATATTAATAAAAAATTCTGATTTAATAAACATTCTTATTTTCCTAATATTCTGATTTTTTTTAATTCTGATTTCTAAATTCTGATTTAATAAACATTCTGCTTTAAAATTCTGGTTTAATAAAAATTCTGATTTTTCAAATTCTGATTTTAATAAAATTCTGAATTTATTAGAAATTCTGATATTCCAAAATTCCGATTTTCTAAAATTCTGATTTCTAAATTCTGAGTTAATAAACATTCTGATTTTAATAATTCTGATTTTTTAAAATTCTGATAAATTCTGATTTAACAAGGGAATAAAATAACCAACTTTAAAAAACTTAAAGCATTATAATACCGTAACATTTTCGCTAGCATATTTGTTGCTTATAAAAATAAAAAGCAGTCACACGCAAAATTATAAAACAAGAGGAGAAAACAAAATTGTAGCAAATCTAATTGTTAGTAGATGAATTGACAAAACAAATAACGGGAATAAATAAATTTCTAGTTGACCAATCTTTTTTTTAAATTTAATAAAAAAAAAGAATTTTTCAAAGTTTTATGCCTCAAAAAACGTGTAAAAAATTAAAAAAAAATTTTTCTTAAATAAAAAATTTTAAAAATTAAAAAATAATTTTATAGAAAAATTATTTGGGGCAGAAAAAAAAATAAAATTAAAAAAAAATTTTTTTTGAGTAAATTAATATTAAATGAGAATATTAAAAATTCGTCCTATAATTAATTAAATAAATTAATAAAATACCCAAAAATAATTTTTTTAAAATTATTAACAAGCAACTAAAATTTAAATAATTTCTTTTAACACCCATAAAAAGTCAAAAAAATTTATTTTTCAAATTTTCACAGGTGCAACAAATTGCCGCTCAAGTATATTAATAAATAATATTTATTATTGTTTTTCTTTTTGTTGTTGTTTTTTAATTTTAGTTTTTTTGCTTATTTTTGGAAGCATTTTCCCAGTAGACTAGAGCAACCTTGGGGGAAGAGTCAAGTCCCAGGGAAAGGTAGAGAGGAAAACATCCACGCCCCATTTGTTTTCCGGAAAGATAATATTTAGTATATTATTTAGTATAATAGCTATAAGAATATTTTTCCGGAAAGTATATTTCCGGAAAAATACAGCTAAAAATATAAATAAATAAACTTAACAGAGAAAAAGAGTAAAACTTAATAGTACTCGATATTCCTTCCGGAAAATTATTTAAACTTGGCAGAGAAAAAAGAGCATAAATAATTGTTAGAGATACCTATATATTTTCCGGAAATATAGAGGTATAGAAAAAGAAATGAAAATACATAAAATTCCGGAAAACTTTCCGGAATATATTAGCATATTACTAAAACCTGAAATAGAATTAGAGAAACTTATTTATATATTCCGGAAAGTTTATTTAACTATATTGTTTTCCGGAAAGTTTATTTAACTATATTGTTTTCCGGAAAGTTTATTTAACTATATTGTTTTCCGGAAAGTTTATTTAAATAATTTATATTTTCCGGAAAGTTTATTAAAATATTAATGTTTTCCGGAAAGTTTATTATAAAATAAACGACCATTAAAACATGTAATAGAAAAAACAGATAATGTGGGAAAATAAGACAGACACACAGATCATTTGTTTCCCGGAATGGTAATAATAATTAACTTGAGAAAAAGGAAAAAGAAACGAGTTAATGTGAGAAAACAACTAACTTTTGTCTCTATTATTTTTTATTAAATATGTAGTTTTTACAATGCCCCTTCCGGGGAAGTTTTTGGAGGACACAAAAGGGAATTATTAATTTTTTAAATTTTTTTTAATTTTTTAATAGCTCAAAAAATAAAAAAAAATTTTTAAAAATTCGACAGTTCATGGATCTTCAAAAAATAATTATTATTTATTATTTTAAGAAAAATGCCGGCATCTCTCTTACTCGGATTGCGCAAGCCCTCCCCCCAAAAAAATTAATTTATACACATCTCACCTTTCTTTTTTTTTATTTTTTGCTGGATCCTTTAATAAAATTTCTTATTCGGCAAAGTTCAAAAATTAATAAAACAATAAAATGACTTTAAAAAAGAAAATTGGTGTTTAAAAGGGGAATTCTTGAAGAAAAAAAAATTATTTTTAATGGGAAATAAAAAAGGTAGTGAATGGCACAAAACAAAAGAGAGGACTAAATAAAAGCGCATCCCAAAAAAATTAGAAAAAAAAAAGAAAAAAAATTGTTGAAGGATGTGAACATCAACAAATGTGTTTTGTTTTAATAATAATTATTTATTTTATAAAAATAAATTTATTGTTAATGAGAGATAAAGAATTTAATAGAGAGACGTATGGTTTAAAAGGAAACTTAATTTTTTCCGGAATAGGTAGGCTGAAATATATTGTCCTTTTTTTCTTTGTCAAGTTTTACTAATCTTCCGGAAAATATATACTTCCGGAAAAAGTTTCATGTCTACCCTATTGCTGCTTCCAACTTTTTTCTACCAAGTTTTAATAAAATAGTAGATAAAATTCCGGAAAATAGAAAGTTCCGGAAAATATATAAGCTTCCGGAAATGTTGTGTTTTTTCTTTTTTTCTCTATCAAGTTTTAATTGAATAAATTCCGGAAAATACATACTTCCGGAAAAAGTTTTGTGTCTACCCTATTGCTTCTTCCAACTTTTTTCTACCAAGTTTTAATAAAATAGTAGATAAAATTCCGGAAAATAGAAAGTTCCGGAAAATATATAAGCTTCCGGAAATGTTGTGTTTTTTCTTTTTTTCTCTATCAAGTTTTAATTGAATAAATTCCGGAAAATACATACTTCCGGAAAAAGTTTTGTGTCTACCCTATTGCTTCTTCCAACTTTTTTCTACCAAGTTTTAATAAAATAGTAGATAAAATTCCGGAAAATAGAAAGTTCCGGAAAATAGAATAGTAGACAAAATTCCGGAAAATATACAAGCTTCCGGAAAATATATATACTTCCGGAAAGGTTGTGTTTTTTCTTTTTTTTCTCTGTCAAGTCTTAATTGAATAAATTCCGGAAAAAATACATATTTCCGGAAAAGGTTGTGTTTTTTCTTTTTTTTCTCTATCAAGTTTTAATTGAATAAATTCCGGAAAATATATATATTTCCGGAAAAAGTTGTGTCTACCTCATTGCATTTTCAAACTTTTTTTTTCTCTTCCAAGTTTTAATAAAATTCCTCAAAAATAGCTTTCCGGAATTCTCTGACTAATCTCATAATTATGCTATATATTTTTTTTCTCAATTTTCAATTTTATATGAACGGCAGATTAAAGAAGCATTTTTAAAAAAGCTCAAAAAAGGTCATTATCATTATTATTAACTCATTTATTTTTTAATCGTCCACGCAAATTGCAATTTTGCTTGTTATTTAGTTAGAGAGACGATAATTCCCTTACATAAAAAAATATATTTTCCCCTTTGATACACCGCCAATTCATACAAAAACCAAAAAATTCTATGGTAATAACTATGAAACAAAAATAATTATGTGTAAGATGATTTTAATGATCGGAAATAGAAAAATAATTTTTCATAATAAATAAAGATCTCAGGGAAAGTTGTGTGTCTAACAAATTATAGAGGAAAATTTAATACAAGCCTTTCCGGAAAAATAAAAAGTTTTCCGGATTTTTTATGTCTAACATTCTTTTAATAAAATAAAATAGCTTTCCGGAAATGACTAACTGTATGAGTGGAAGCATTAAAAGTTTTCCGGAAAGTTTGTGTCTAACCATTTATAGAGCAAATTGTAATACAAAGTTTTCTGGAAAAAAGTTGGAAATTTAATATAGATTCCGGAAAAAAGTTTTCCTGATTTTTTATGTCTAGCATTCTTTTAAATAAGTTTTCCGGAAAAGTCTAACAACTATCAGTATGACTGAAAACATTAAAACAAAGTTTTCCGGAATTGTTTTGTGTGTCTAACAACAAAGTTTTATTGCGCACAACAAACATATAATCCTTTTAAAAATGCTCTTTCTTTTCTCTTATTTAATTATCTACCAATTTTCTTGAATTTAATTATTCGAATATTATTTTGGTAATCTTCCACAATCAGGTCAAAATAGTTAGACACACAGGTCAAAATAGCCATTCTCTCAAAAAAATTTTCCAAAAAAATTCTTTTTATTTTTGTATTTTTTGGCATTTAAAAAAATACAAAAATAAATATTTAAGAAAAAACAAAGTTACCATAGCAATTCTTCTAATTTTTACCTTTTCTTAATAAATTTTCCACCCAACTTTTCTTTTTCTTTTGTTGCCGAAAGGCTTCTCTCTATCTCATTATTATTTTATTTAAAGACAATATAACAAAAAAACTTTGTGTAACTAAGCATTTTTATTTTGTTTTAAAAAACTTTAAAATAAATTTTTTATAAATACATACAAGTTTTTAAATTTTCAACAAGTTTAATTAGTTTATTTATTTCCAAGTTTATTTTCAGGTTTACTTCCAAGTTTAATTTACAAGTTTATTTTCAAGTTTTCCAAGTTTATTTTTCAAGTTTTATTTTTAAAGTTTATTTTTTCTAAGTTTATTTTCAGGTTTTATTTTTCAAGTTTAATTTCAAATTTTATTTACTAGGTTTTATTTTTCCAAGTTTATTTCCATGCTTTTAAGTTTTCCAAGTTTTATTTTTCTACATTTAATTTAGCAAAAGATCGTCTACCCAAGAACAACCCATTTCGTCACAACTTCTTTACATCTCCTCTCCCCTTCCCAAAAAAATTAAAAAAAATTTTTTTTCTAATAAAATTTATTTTAATATAATTCATTATAAATAAATAAATTTTTGATAAGATTTTTTCAAAACAAAAAAAAATAAAATAATTTTACAAGTACCCATCTTCATTAATATCAAGTTACTTCCCTCTCAGACATCTTTAAAAAAATTATTTTTAAATAATTTCTTTTTTCAATTAATATATTTATTTTTCTATTTTTACAAGAGGTAATTTTAAACGTCTGTAAATTATTTTAAAATTATTTTAATTGTTTCAAAATTTCTCCACCTTTCCTTTCTTTTTCCCCCTTCATTTTCCTCCTTTAAACACTCCCTCCCCTCCCCTCTCTCCCTCCAAAAAAAATTCAATTTTCAATTAAAAAAAAAAAGAAAAATAGAAAAATGATTAAACAAGAAAGAAAAAGATTAGCAAAACAAACAAAAAAATAAATATATAAAAATTCAAAAGTCAACATTGAAAAAATCTTTTTTCGATTAAATGAAAGGAACGCGTGAAAAAATAGGAGACAGAATAGATTGTCAAAGGCTTATTTTTTTCTTGTTGATATTTCACTCTCTTCTAAATAATTTTCACTATCACATTTTTAAAAAATAATCTTTAGGAATAAAGGATAGGTTATTTTATTTTAATTCTTCATTTTTCCAATTTTAAATTGGTCCAAAAAAATTTTTTTATAAAAATTCAAAAAAAAATTTTTATTTCAGAAATTTTTAAAAATTAAAAAAAAAATCCAAAAAATTGCTAAAAATAAAAAAAAATTAAAAATAATTTTTTATTAAAAAATTTTTCAGAAAATTTTCAAAAATTCTTCAAAAAATCCTTTTTTCAAAAAGATTCTCTCGAAAAAATTTTTTCCGTTTTAACAAAAAATCACACACACACACAGACACATATTTAAATATCATCTATCTAAAATTCACTTTTTTAAGTTAAAAAAATCATGTCCTCTTCCCCTACCAATCAACAACAACAATCATCATCGCCAACACCTCCTCCCCCTCCACCCCCAACAACTGCAGATACACAACAACAACAAAATAATATAGCCCCCTCAACTTCATCTTCTTTAAATACAGAAAATAATATTAAAGAATATAATATTTTATTAATTGGAATTAAAAGGATTAGACAAATTTTGGTTTGTTCCTTTAATTAAAATTTCTCCCTCTATAAATTCCCCCTACAAAATTAAAAAAAATATTTTCAAAGAGCAAAAAAAATTAGAATAAATTTTTTAAAAGAAAAAAAATCAAATAATAATTATGTTTAAAAATAAAATTAAATTTGAGTCGATAGAAAGTTGTAGGAATCGAACCTTTGCCCCTTCCAGGAAAAATAACAGGCAAGGCGGGGCCCATACCGACTTAACCACAAATACTCACAATTCTTCCCTTACATATTTTTAATTTAAAAAATTCCTTTTTAAATTAATTTATTATTTTTCCCTTTCAAGTTTGATCAATTAAAACAATCAGCACAAAAATATGAACAACACAATCATTATACTGATATTAGTTACCTAACTTTTGAATTTAAACAAGGAGAATTTTCTACTTTAGAATTAATGCAAATTGATCCGAGAACGGTTTTTTTTAATTAAAAAATTTTTTTTTGAGAAACAGATTTTTACGAAAATTTTTCGGAATTTTTTTATAATTTTCTGAAAATTAAAAAAAAAATTTTTTTTTGAAATTTTTTTTAATTTTTTAAAATTTTTTAAAGACACGCACAGGAGCTCATTTAATGGCTATTAGAAAGTAAAATTAAATAAATTTTAAAAATTTTCTTAAAAAAATTTTCAGAGCCCACGCAGCTATTATTTGTTATGCTGCACATATCCCTTCCTCATTTCATGTATTAACTGGATTCTCTGAAGATTTTAATACTAGTCAATCAGCAGAAGTAAAGGGAGGGAAAGGAAAGGGAAAAATAGCAAAAAACACAGCTAGGCCTGTAAGTGTATTTTAAAATCTCAGAAAAATTTTTCGAAATTTTTAAAATCTTAAAAAAAATTTTTTTGAAATTTTAAAAATCAGTAAAAATTTTTAAAAAATTTTCTGGGCATAAAAAATGAAAATTAAACACGTTATAAAGCTATAGGTATCGAACCATGCCCCTTTCCAGAAAATAAAGACAACCAAGGCGGAAGTACAACCTACTTAACCACAGAACCACGTCAGGGGAGTCCTTATTTTTCTCATTCTGTTGGTCTAATAAAATTGTAAAAAATAAGAAAAATAGACAAATTGATAAAAATTGACCTAAAAATTTCTAGAAAAAAATTTTTTTGAAATTTCTTCGAAAAATCTTTTAAAAAATCTTAAAAATAAAAAAAAATCCCTTTAAGTCAGCCTCTTTATTATTATGTGACAATGATGTATTAATTGAAGAGGATGAAGACAAAAATGAAAAAGGAGGAGAAATTGAGGAAGAAAGGGATTTAAATAAGCCATTAATTTCAAAATTAAATTTAAATGGAAATTTAAACGAAGATGGAGAAGAAGAAAATGAGGAAAATATACAAGAATCCCCTAAAATAAATACAATGAATAATCAATCAACGCCTAGACGGCCATCAATGGAAAAAATGGTAAAGGAATTGGATGATGGAAGAGATGAAGATTGGTTAATTACTCGAGAAAAGGTAAAAGAGAGAAAAATTTTTAAAAATTTGAAAATTTAGGGAGAACAATTAGCTACAATGTTTGGACCCGATTGCCAATTTAAATGTTTTTCTTTTTCCGCTTTAAAAGCTGAACAGGAAGCAGTTGAAGCCGAAGGGTTAAATGACAATACTTTTATTGTAACGATAATTGATCAACTGATAAAAAGGGCTGAGGACGTAAAAAGGTTTTAGAGAATGATTTGAAAAAAATTTTTTTAAAAATTCAGAAGAAATAAAAAAAATTAAGAAAATTCAAAATTTTCAACAAAAAAATTACAGAAAAAATTTCAAAAAAATTTCTAAAATTAAAAAAAATAAGAAAAATTTCCAAAAAAAACAAAAAAAATTTTTTTGAAATTTCCAGAAAATTAAAAAAAAATTCAGAGAAAATTTTAAAAATTAAAAAAAAAATTTTTTTTAATTCCCCTTTCATTTTTTCAGTGGAAGAAGCACCAAAAACAACACCAACAATTCAACTAATAATCATTTAAGACGACGTAGTAATTCCCCAACAAATTTAAATAGTCGCCGTCTTTCCCCTTTAAGCACAAATTTAAAGAGAATGTTGCAGGGAGGTACTAATCATTTAAAAGGAGGTGGAAATGCTGTTGTTAAATTAATTACAAAGAAGAAAAATAATAATACAAATGAAGAAAATAATACTACAAATAATGTTACTACTACAAATGTTGAAAATAAGAAGACAAGTTTGGGTGGAATGAGACGACTTTTTAGCAGACAAAAATCTGAGGTTTGTGTTTAAAATTTTGAAAAGAATTTTTTTCATTTTCTGAAACCGAAAAAATATTTTTTTAATTATTTCTGAGAAAAATAAACAATTTTAAAAATGTTGGAAGAGCAGAGGAATCGAACCTCACATATCTCAAAAAAAAACATTAACAACGCGCAAGTTATACCAACTTAACCATCGACGCACTCATCCATTTTATTCCTTTAGTAGGGGAAAAATCAGAATTTTATTTATCACCAGAATTATTTAATTAAAATGAAATACAAATAAAATCAGAATAATGTGTATTTTAGGCTTTCCGGAAAATACAAATAAAATCAGAATATATGTATTTTAGGCTTTCCGGAAAACACAAATAAAATCAGAATATGTGTTTTAGGCTTTCCGGAAAATACAAATAAAATCAGAATAATGTGTATTTTAGGCTTTCCGGAAAACACAAATAAAATCAGAATATATGTGTTTTAGACTTTCCGGAAAACACAAATAAAATCAGAATATGTGTTTTAGGCTTTCCGGAAAATACAAATAAAATCAGAATGTGTGTTTTAGGCTTTCCTGAAAATACAAATAAAATCAGAATGTGTGTTTTAGGCTTTCCGGAAAATACAAATAAAATCAGAATGTGTGTTTTAGGCTTTCCGGAAAATACAAATAAAATCAGAATGTGTTTTTAATAAATCAGAATAATTCAGAATTTTGTGTTTTAAGTTTGTGTTTCTTTCCGGAAAAATAAAATGTTTTCCGGAATGTTGTATTTTTCTGGAATATTTTGTATTTTTCAGAATTATTTGTATTTTTCCGGAATAGTGTATTTTCTTTAGAATTATTTGTATTTTTTTAAAAATCAGAATTAAAGGAACGTAATATCCCAGTGAAAAGTGGAAGTACTCTTTCTCTACCAAATTCCCAACAACAACAAGAAACACAACAACAACCAACAGAAAATGGAAAACCTCTCCCTCCATCAACATCTACTAGTATTTTTGGAAACGCTTATCGTGCAATAATAACAAATCCAAGAGAACGTTTAAAACAAAGAAATAATAAAATAGCTTCTACAGTCCCTTTAGCTGGAAATGATGGTATTAAATAAAATAAGAAAAATGTGAAGAAAAAAAAAACAAAAAAATAAGAGGAAAATAGATTCTTTAAACTAAAAAAAATTTTTTTTAATTTTTTAATAAGAAAAAATTATTTTTCAATTAAAAATACAAAAAATAAAAATCGTAAAATTTTGATAAAAAAAAAATAAAAAATTTTAAATAAGAAAAAATTCGTTTAATCTTTCTCCTCTCATAGTTGACAACACAACAACTACAATAGTACAACAACAACCTAGAAAGTCATTAGCAGCCATATCTACTACAAAAAACAGCAATTTTGATATTGTACAAATTCAACCCCCAACAGGCGAAATAAATGGAGAACCTTTTAATTTTAATAATGATGAGGGTGAGGATGAAGAAAATCAAAAAGAAGAGGAGGGGGAAGAACAAAAGGAAGAAAATAAAATTATTAAAGAAATAAATGATGAAAAAAAAATTAAAAAAGAGGAAGAAGAAAACCAACAAATAGAACAACAACAAACAACCTCACTACAACAAGAAGAACAACCTCCTCCTCCCACAAAAATTAATAGATTTAAAAAATTTGCTAAACAATCATCAACTGCTTGTATCATTCAATAAACAGAAAAATTAAAATTTTTAAATTATCCCTTTCAAATTTTATATTTTTTTTTATAATTTTTAACACAATCGGTTATTAACCAGTACTCCCCTTATTCTAGGTTATCATCAGTTTTGACCTCCCAATTTTTTCGAATTCGATTCGGTTAACCGTTTATGTATGTCCAACCAACATTTTTGAGTAAAAATTTAGAAAAAAAAAATAAAATTAAAATAGGCAAAGATTTTCAGATAACCGCGGATAGGGAATCTTGAGAAAACATACGACTCCCTCGCTCTCTAGAGCTAAACGCAAATGAAAAATAATTTTTCCGCAGCCAAATTCTGTCAAGAAACCGCGCAAGTTACGCAATTAGAAGATGCCTCCAGCCCTACTCCAAATTCGTTTTTATTTATATTTTTTTTTTAAATTAAACGAAAAAATGATACCTATATTATATCTTATATTTTTTTAACAAAATAAAATAATTATTAAAATATCCCCACCTATTTTTAAAAACACACACACATATTCTTCATCTTTTTTGAATATTCTCCAACAATATTTAAGTTGTAATAAAAACATATAGGTAGTAGAAGAAATAAATTATAGCAAACAAAGCAATTAGAAGAAAAAAACCACTTAAAGACAATCGAACTAAAAAAAATTTTTTTTGAAAAAAATTTTTTTGAGGGTAATTTAAAATTAAAAAAAATTTTTTTTTATCATTAACAACAGGGACGAGCCCATTTTAAAGCCCAAACAGGGACTAGCCCCCCAGAGCTACTAAAAATTGATTTTTAAAAATAGACGTCTTAATATAGTTAAGGGTAAAAAAAGGTATTTAAACGGGCCCAATTTATATAATCCGCAAAATATTCCTCAAAAACTCAAAATTTTTTGTTACTTACCCAAAAAATAAAAAATCTTCTTGTAAAAATCCCAACTAGATGAAATGGTTACTTCTTTCTTGTTCTTTTCAAGTTGTTGTAAAAGGTCTTCAATAACTGTACTCTATTAAAAAAAAATTATTTTTTATATAAAAATTAAGGTCAAAACTGCCAATGAGATTTGGAAAAATCATCCCTTATAATAAGGATATCCCAAATAATCCAAAGGTATTGTTCAGCAAGGGCGAAGGGACAAAAATGTGATGTGCGCTCAAAGAGCCATATTTTTTAGTAACAGAAGCCCCCCTCTCTCTGACTACGTCCTTATCGTTCACTAATTCTAAGTGGTAACCAGGAATCAGGTCAGTTAATTGAAACTTTATACTCGAATTTTCCGACCGAGAATCAAATCCAAAAAAAATTTTTAACCCAAAATCCAATCCGAAATTTTAGAATAATTAACATGGTCACCCTGCTGGTCAACAAAACTAAAAAAATTGTATCCTAAACAGAAGTGTAACTAGTATTTTTAGAATATTTTATGAGGTCCAATTGTATAATTTAAGAGGCACCATTTTTTAAATTTAGTTGGCCACAAGGTGCAGAAATCGTTTAAACGTTACCCTCTATTTAAGACACTTCATTACAAGACACAAAATTTTTCCAACTCCATGGGGTATCCTATATCGAAACTTTGCCTATACACATTTAAAATTACTAAAAAAACCTTTCTCATTCTCAAACCATCTCCCTCCTCAAAATCAACATCTTCATTGTCAACATCTTCAGGGTCATCTTTCCATTTATCAAAATCAAATTTTAACCAAAGCTTTGTCTCCAATTTGTGGTCTGGATTTACTAATCCATTCTTCCAAAATCCAGCATTTTGCTTTTTTAACGTAATGTTTAAACCTTTTTCAATTTCTTTACATTCAAAACTTTCCTTAAAAAATAAAATTTTTTTAAATTTATATTTGATTTGGGGAGGAGGAAAATCCATTTTCTAGGGTGATTTTTCCAAGTCTAGATCAGCTTGGAATTTTTGAGTCTTCTTGGTTTCCCGTGGCTGTAAAAATTGGTTGATTCGAAAAAAGGGCCAGAAAATAGTTTTTTATAAATTACTTTGTTAGCAGCAGACGGACTTCGATTTAAATACTCCCCCTCCCCCTCTCAGATTTTAGAGACACCTAGTTTTTAAATTCACACCGAGAAAAGGCAGAAAACCCCATGCACAAGATTCGAAAAAGTTCGATAAAAGGGTCAAGAAAAGGTCCAAATACCAAAAGGTGGTATTAACACCAGAGTTCCAACAATAAAAAATTTAAAAAAAGCAAACCACAACAGCAGAAGCCAAAAAAAGTTGAAACTCAAATTGAGACAAATCAGCCATATCACCTGGAGCAACTAGAGGAATACCCATCCCTTGAAATATTAAAAGTCTTCCCCCATTTGCAACAGTCAATTGATAATTCTTTAAAAATTAAAAAAAATTAATTTAAAAAAAATTTAAAAATAAACCACAAGACTTTTAATTTCCACTCTCAAAAAAATATTATTAACATCTTGAGCCCAATAAACAAAAGGATAATATTTATTCATTTTGTAGATGGTTTTTTTGAATAAAGAAAATATATCTAAAATTAAAAAAAAATTTTTTTTTTTAATTTCCCCATGCTCTCCAAAAGGTAGGGAAAACATATCGGGACGGACATAGCGAGATCGCTCTGAAAAAAATAACTATTTTGGGTATTTACATTGCTCTAAACCATGAAAATTCTTTTTCTTAACAGGACAATGTATTTAAAAAACCCAGTTCTAGTAGGTTCCGGAAGCAGTATAGTGTAGCTGTTCGTCACTGAAATTACTTATGTCCGCCCCTATTGTCAGGCTACCCTTCAAAAAATCCGCCAGTTTTATCCGCAAATCCGTCGCCTTTTATTTTACAAAAAATAATCTAAAAAACATACTTTCAATAAAAAAATAACCTCGTCAAACTTTTCCTCCAAAATAGCCAATTAATAAACTAACAATAAGCAGCAACGATTTGCGGACAAAACTTGCGGACTTTTTTTTTGAAGAGCATTGAAAAAATCACCAAATACAAGAATATCATCTAAATTAGCCAAAAACACTTTTAAAAAAGTATAAGCAATGAATAAACATTTAAAAAAATAACACAAAGAATCAAAAAAATTTTTATACAAAAAAAGAATAAATTAAAACCTCATTTTTGCACACAATAAAATCAAAAAAAATTCTAAAAATAAAAATTCAAAAAAAAAATTCTTCAACCTTTTCAAAAAACGTAACTATCAAATATTTCTCTAACTTCTTCATTATTCAAAAAATCTTTAGTTATTTCAAATCCTCCTTCTTCCGTCTTTAATACTAAACGACCAAAAATCTTTTCGAAATCTTCTCGTTCTTTCAGTGTAAAACGTCTGTCTTTGAATAATTTGTCATAAAGGTAATGTAGCCAATAATGATTTGTTTTGCGATGGAATGTTGACCAATCATCTCTAAAAAATTGACAAATTGAAAAAAAATTTTTTTGAAGTAAAAATTTTGTTATACAATCAAATCTCGTTCCAGGATACCCAAAATATTGAGTAAACCTCTATGTTAAGAGATGCTTTTAAAATTTTAATTGACTATTGAATCGAGGAACTGCAAAGCTACAAGCCCCTCATTTAAGGTAATCTCACAATAACACAAAAGCATAGCCAGGAGGTCAATTTCAGGATAGAGGGGGCTAAAATGGGGGTGCGCCAAAAATTTTGGCGTTTACTTTTCGTTTCCCCTCCTAAAATTTTTACATTTTACCCATTTCAGGGGGGTGAGAAAATTTATTAATTTTTAATAAAAAATAAACAAACCCATTTAGTTCTTTCATCATTGGGTAAATTTTGAATTGGTAATCATCTCCTTTTTTATATGGTTTAACAGCAAATTTAACAAAAACAGACTGTCTTGTAACATCATCTGTCATCCGAGAATTGTTGAAATCAATTAATGAAGCATGCACGCCATGAGAACGGACTTCAATTTTTTCACCATTGTAGTAATAACTAAAAGATATTTCAAACTTTCCAAAAAAATTTAAAAAAAAAACCAAATTTTATCTCGACGTTCTCTTTCTCTAGAAGTAACTTCGCTGATTAATATATTGCTGTAATGTAGATCTCGATGCTCAAAACTATATCTTTCTTCAGCTATAGCAAGGGAAAGGGCGACTTGGTAAAAAATTGAAAAACGTTGTTTTTTGGTGGCCTGGAATTTAAAAAAATATTCATGTTACTAAAAATCATTTTTTATTTTTTGTACTACATCCTTAAAAGGGTTCATACGTACGAACATTCTTATTCTACAGAGGATTAGGAGATATTTAAAATAAATTTTAAAAATTGATTAAAGACTGGAAAAGCGGGGGTGCCAAAAAATTTATTTTATGTGCCTTTTTTAAATCCAAAGGGTTTCTCCTCGACTCTATTTTTCTCACAGTCCAATAAAAAGAAAAAATAAAATTAAAAAATTAAACCTTTCTAGGTGTATGCAAATATAGTTCTAGATCCACTCCACCATTTGCCATAACTAGGACAACATAGGTGTTGTCTATGCGCTCTGTAGGTTGTTCATTTAAAGCAATCTTCGGGTTTCGTTTCTTGTATTTTTTCCACGCCTTTATAAGAATATCCGGATAGATACCTTTTATAAGCAAAAAATTAGAAAAAAAATTTTTTTATTAAAATTTAAACCTTTGACTACATTAGCACGGACAAGAGGTATATATGAAGGAGTTGAGAAATCACCGGCATTGTTGAGTTCTGATAAATGCCGTGTGATGAAAACTTCAGAAAAGACGGCTGGTATCGGATTTTCCTCGGTAACTTGAATGACCTGGCGAAAAAAATTTTTTAATTGACAACTTTCCAAAAAAAATTCGAAAGTTGAGAAATTTTTTTGACAAACTTAAAAAAAAAGAGAGAAAAAATACCTTCATAGCATAAGTCCCTTTAGAATCGGACATTTCGTAGACCTCTCCATAATCTCCTTCACCGAGTTTACGAAGACATTCAAAATTAGTGCGATCAAGGAACTCATCCCAGGTCATAATATAGCCGTTGTTACAGTGCTGCAAAACATGTGTAAATTCTTGTGGCCGTCCTTTAAAATTATAAAATATAAATAAATTTTGGTATTTTTGCATTATTTCCGGAAAGTAAATTAACTGTTTTGAGGCATACATATTTCCGAAAAACACATAAAAAGCGATTAAATTATAGAACTTTCCGGAAAAATATTTCAATAAAACAATAAATTCCGGAAAAAAATATAGACCTATTAAACTTTTCCGGAAAAAATAAAGAATGTATTTAAAACCTCCGGAAAACACCAAAAATCAGAAAAAATCATAACGGAAAATATTTAATATAACTTTTCCGGAAAACACAAAAATATTACTAATACCTTCCGAAAAATAAATCCAGAAAAATACGAAAAATAAGAAAAAAAAAATTCCGGAAAATTGTATATTCCGGAAAAAATTATGTGTATAATTAATATTTCCGGAAAATACACAACTATCAATACAACTCACCGGAAAAATATTAAGGTCATCCGAAAAATTTAATAAATTTCCAAAAAAATACAAAAATCAGAAAAAATTCTTTCCGGAAAATACAACCCTTTAATAAAGGTCCAAAACCGATTAAATAAAATTTGAATTTAAAAAAATAAAACATACTCCATGGAGATAATGACAATCGGCGAGAATTTCGAATTGAAGCATTTCTATTTAAATTTTCCACTGCTCGTTGTCGAGGTTGATGTTGCTGACTTGTTGATGGTGGTGGAGTATTTTCTAATTCTTCCAAATTATTTGCAGGCAAATTTTTTGAATGGCTTTGGACTTTGATTCTTGTAGAAATTTCTAAAAAATAAAAAATTTTATTTGAAAAAGTTAATAAATTCCAAAATTAACAATTGAAAAAAATCATCTTCAAAATTAATCAAAATTTAATAGAAAGAAAAAATTTCCCTTCCCAAAGTAATTTAAAAAATTTTTGAAAATTCAAAAATCTTCAGAAAAAATCAGGAATAAAAAACTTCCGACTTGTCGGTTGAAAAAATTTTTAAAATTAAATCAAGAATATAACTTGTAGAAAGGAGGACCCAAGTACTATTCTAACACCCATATTATTTTATTAATTAAAAAACCTTTGGCTGTTGAGAATGATTTTTCACCAGATTTGGATGTTCCTTCAATTCCTTCAAAAATTTCAACAGATTTTTGTGTTCGAGAAGCATCACGAATTGGTTGTGATTTTTGCAAAGTTTTTGGGGAAAAAAGATAAGGCATTGTAGATGAAGAAAGCTTATTTGAGGAACGTTGACCATGAGATTTTGAAATTGCTTCTTTTTCAATAGGTTGAGAAGAAATGTTCTTAGCAGTGTTTAAAGATGATTTTTGGTGAATTGAAGAAGCTTCTATAATGAAAAAATTTAAAAAAATTTTTGAATGGAATGAGTATAAACGTCTCACTCACTCCTCGGGCTGGATTTTGTTACAGAAAAAAAATTTAAAAAATATTTTCAAAAACGATTTGACCAAAAAAATTTTTTAAAGAAAGTTTTCCAAAAAATTAAATTCATTAAAAAAAATTTTTTTTGCAAACCCTTGGCTGTTAAAAAAGATGGCTGAATTCTTGAACAAGATTGTTGTTGAATAGAAGAAGCACTATCCAATTGAATAACATCCTCTTCTAGCTCTTCAATCTCATCTTGTTGACATTCTACTTCTTTTTCTTCGTCTTCCACTTCATCTTCTTCATCATTCACTTCCACTTCTTCTTCCTCTTCATCATTCACCTCATCTTCTCCCCCCTCCATTTCCTCTTCTTCCTCCTTTTCCATCTCATTTTCTTCCTCATCAAAAACATATTCTCCTCCAACTACTTCCACTTCTAAATTGAATGATGAAGACTTTACTGACGATTTTTGTTCTTGTTGGCCTCGAGAAGCTGAAAAATCTTTCTGGGGCAAATTCTTCTTTGAAGCAAAAGAGTGTGGAACAGTTTCATCTCTTGGAATATTTTCGTCAATACGTTGACCACGAGATTTTGAAATTGCTTCTTTGTCAATAAGTTGAGAAGAAATGTTCTTGGCAGTGTTTAAAGATGATTTTTGGTAAATTGAAGAAGCTTCTATGAAGAAAAAACAAAAAATGAAAAAAAATTTTAGAACGGAAATGTGTATAAGACGTCACACTTTGGGCTTAATTTTGTCACAAAAAATTTAAAAAAAAGTATTTTCGAAAAACAGATTTTGACTTTAAAAAATTTTTCAAATAAAAGTTTTTCAAAATCTTTTTTTAAATTCATTAAAAAATTTTTTTTGCAAACCATTGGCTGTTGAAAGAGATTTCTGAATTCTTGAACAGGATTGTTGTTGAATAGAAGAAGCACTATCCAATTGAATAACATTCTGTCCTTCTTCCACTTGCTCACATATTGATGAAAAAATTCTTTTAGGTGGCAAATTCGAAGAAAGTTTCGAAGATTTTCGTGACAAATTTTTTGAGGATTCTAAAAAAATATTTTTCATTTTACAAAAAGATTTGTCAAAAAAACCTTTGGCTGTTGACACTAATTGAATTTCAACAGATTTTGATGGTTCTTGACATTCGACATCTTTTTCTTCGTCTTCCAGTTCAACTTCTTCTTCATTTTCTCCCGCTTCCATTTCCTCTTCATTCTCTTCCATCTCCACCTCTTGCTCTTCCATTTCTTCTTCATCATTCACCTCATCTTCTTCCTCCCCCATTTCCTCTTCTTCCTTTTCCACTTCATTTTCTTCCTCATCCAAAACATATTCTCCTTCTTCCACTACCTCCACTTCTAAATTGAATGATGAAGACTTTTCTGACGATTTTTGTTCTTGTTGGCCTTGAGAAGTTGGGAAAATCTTTTGATACAAATTCTTCTTGAAAGCAAAAGAGTGTGGAACAGCTTCATCTCTTGGAATATTCTCCTCTATATTTGAATCAAGACTTTTAGCTGTATTTAATGACAAAGATGTTTGATGGTGAGAATCCCTTATAGAATCAAACACATTAAATTTTGATTGTACAATAGAAGAAGTATCTTCCAATTGAATAACTTCCCTAGATTCTTCCTCTTCTTCGTTAATAGAAGAAAAAATTCTTCTTGAAGGCAATAAATTAGTAATTGATGAAATTGCTAAAGATTCTTGTGCCACATTTTTTGAAGATTCTTTTTTAAAAGAAAAATTTAAAAAATTTTTTAAGAAAAAATTTTTCAAGAAAAAAAATTTTTTTCGTTAATCCTAGGAAACCCCAAAAGATTTTCTAAAAAATTTAATTTTGTGGCGGATGTTTTTTTTTCTTTTAAAAAAAATTTTTTTCGATAATCCTAAGATACCCCAGATTCTTTAAAAAAATTTTTTATTAGAAGAAAAAACCTTTAGCTGTCGAAAGAGATTGATGGATACTTGAAGGTTGCTGCTTAATAAAAGAATCTAATTGAATAACTTCCTGATCTTTGTCTTGCACACTACCAGAAATAGAAGAAAAAATTCGTTTAGGCAACAAATTGGATGATGAACAGATTTTTGAAGATTCTTTAAAAAAAATTTTCTTTTCCCAAAAATATTAAAAAAACCTTTAGCCATTGATCGCGTTTGAATTTTTGACGAAATTTGTTGAATAGACGAAGCACTATCCAGTTGAATAACATCAACAACAGCATTTCCTTTTTCCTCACAAATTGAAGAAAAAATTCTTTTTGGAGGCAATAAATTGGATGATGAGTAAATAATTGAAGACTTTTCATCAGTTAAATTTTGTGAAGCTTCAGTTAATTCTAAAAAATTGGAATTTTTTTAAAAAATAAAAATTTTTTCAAAAAATTAAAAAAAAATTTTTGGCTCGAAAATTTAATTTTTGGAAAAAATCTTCAAAAAAATTTTCAAAAAATTCTTTGAAAAAATGAAATTTCCATTAAAAAAACCTTTAGCAGTAGACAATGACTGAACATCAACATTTCGTACAATTCCAACAGATTCAGTTGAGTCCAAAGTAAATACTTGTGGAGGAATGGACTTCAGAGTAGTTTCTTCCAACAATGTTGGAGATTTTAAAGAAATTGAAGCAAATTGTTGTTGTTCTTGGATATCTTTAAAAATTGGTGAATTGTTTAGAATTGGAGATTCTGGCACAATTTCATTTTCAACAGAAATATTTGCTGACAAATTTTCTTCTTCTTCTTGTTGTTGTGGTGGAAGAGGTGTGTTGTTTAAAGTAAATTGTGTTGATTCTTGTTTAGAAAAGAAGAGAGAAGACTCTGCTGTAACAACTGGTTCTAGAAAAAAAAAACGAAGAAATTTAATTTATGTTGGGAAGGGAATTTAAATTGGACAGATTTCTCCTAACAATAAGCCGACTATTCAAAATTACGTTTTAAAGGTACACTGGAAGCTGTTCATAGGGAGGGGAGGCCATCGAGAAGCCTAAATCCTGACTACCCTCAAGTAGTTGGTAGTGTTAAGAAACTGTTCATAATGTCTTGCTCTCCAAAATCACTTCCATTCTTAAGGCAAAATTCAACCCAAAGGACGACGTTATATAGAGATTGTGGCGATACGCTCTCTAAATGTACATCGAACAATACCAGGGAACTTGAAAGTGTACCAACAAAAAATCCTTCCAACCCCAAAGAAGTCCTTTAGAATAGAACCCCACCCTAGAAATTAAAAAAAAGCATTAAAAAAAACCATTAATTTGTTGCAGCTCCTTTGGAGTTGTCCTCTTTCGTTTTTTAATAACATAAAAATCACGCGGTGCCTCCTCTGTCAACAATTGAAAGTCATCAATTTCATCAAACTAGTAAATAAAAAATGTTTTATTAAATTATTTAATACTAGATGATTGCCAAAAAAGAAATTTTAACTTCTTAGAAAAGAAAATCAAATTTCTTAGAAACGGAAAATCAATCGTGTCAGAAACTCTTCTCTAGAGAACAAAGAATCTGAAAACACTTAATCTCAATTTCAAGTACTAATCTTGAGTAAACAACGATGTTGTCAACATCTAGAACTCGATGTCTAGATTTGAACCAGAGCTGTATTGGGGTAAGATCTGAGAATTTTCTCTGAGGTCCCAGAACTTTCAGAAGTTTTTTATAGTTAATTGGGTAAAATTGAATTTCGTATACCCCCTTCTTTTTCCAGCCTCAAAATGTTTAAAAATGGTCAGTCTGTTATCAAATTATAGAACTCGTTGAGCTGTGTCGAATGACACCAAAATCAACCCTCGGTCTTAACTTTGGGCCGAGATACAGACAAAAACCCTGCGCAAAGCAATGGTTTTGCACAAGCGTCTCGCTGACACAAAAGGATTACTTTATGTCATAACTTTGTCAAATCCTTTTCAATTACGTTGATTTTTATGTCATTCGAATCAGCTCGACAGGCTCTTTCGAATGAGCTATTATTTGTTTAATCGAATTTTTTGCCCAAAAAAATTAGCTTGGTCCATCCTTCTATTTTTCAATTTTCGTTGGTCTGTATCTCGGCCCAAAGTTAAGACCGGGGGTTGATTTTGGTGTCATTCGACACAGCTCGACGAGTTCTATAATTTGATAACAGACTGACCATTTTTAAACATTCTGAGGCTGGAAAAAGAAGGGGGTATACGAAATTCAATTTTACCGTTAATTGGAGTTTTACTGGGACTGTTTTTCTTAATTACAAGTTTGGAATCACTTCAAGGTTAGAGGATCCAAAAATGAGTCATATCCCAGGTCGCGGTTTCTACTCCTCTCCCAAATACGTTTAAAATCTTAACGCAAAAAAGAAAGGTAATTCCAAGCTTTGTGCCCCCTCCACATTTCCCTTCCTCAAAAAATATACATAATGGAGAAACAAACCTCATTATTAAATCTTTGCAATTCTTTAGCAACAGCTTCGTCTTCTGCCCAAGTATTTTTCGCCTTCTTCTTTGATTTTTTGTTTCTAGGGCGTTTAAGCAGTTTTTTATTTTGATCAGATGAAGAATATGAAGACAATGAAGATGAGTTGCGTTCAATTACTTTTGGTGTTCCAACAACAATTTCATTTGAAATGTCAAGATTGTAAGCTAATGCACGCTAAAAAAAGAAAGATTTCAAAAACACAAAGAAATAGTCTAATCTAGGCACAATTTGGGGCACATATAAAGAGATGAGTTGATTTCAAAAACACAAAGAAATAGTCTAATCTAGGCACAATTTGGGGCACATATAAAGAGATGAGTTGGTCTTTTCCTCCAACCTTTTCTAACCAACTATCCTTTCTTAAAACAAATGATTCAAGACTTCAAGATTCTTCCCGTTCTCCTATTAGCCTATAACAAAATACATTTATGATGATATGACACTTAAACCCTCTTTAGTGTCTATCTTAAGGAAAGAAGACAAGACGACAATTGCAGCGGTTACGGCTTTGTAATCGGAAAAATCAGCTTTGCAATCGAGAAACACCCAAGTAAGCGCGCGGCCAAGTAGGCGCAAAGCCGTAATTAGCTGGAAAATTTCTGGACCTTAACAATTTTGGTATCAATCTCTTTAGCCCGATAAGAGGAATAGTTTAATACTGAATTTTAAAAGATTCGGAAACTTGAAGTTTGATCGCCCGCCTACTTGGTCGCGCGCCTACTTTGGTTGTACACTTTGTAATCCTACTCAACCCGCAAACCCAGTTATCGTCGACTAGTCCTCCTGACAGACAATACATATCAAAAACAAACCGGCTTTTAAATAAAAATATTAAGAAAATCAAACCTCAAATCGAAGATCTTCATATGTTATAGGCTTTCCTTCCAATAAAAAACCAGCCTGACGAATGTCTCGAGGACGTTCTCCAAAACGAGTAACACGCCTTCGTAATTTATGAGTCAACATTTAAAAGCTCTAAAAATGATAAACTGAATTTGGTTAAATAGCCTAATAGAGATACGCGAAGGTTTAGAAATGGCGATCGGTGCGGGAGGGATCCCGCGCAAGTTTTTGTGAGGTAACGCTCCCGCAATCCCGCAGTATTCGTTTTGAGGAAGTGCGGGATTATTCCCGCGGAAGTTCTCCCGCAAGCTTACTTGCAGCTTACAATTAGTTAGTCCCCCAAGTTACTTCCGCATGTGGAAACACGCAAACGCAATTTTCCCGGTATGTGTTTTGAAACTAAAACCTTTATTGGCGTCTTTATCTATCTTAAGAAGCCTAATGCGGGCCTGACCCTCTTTGTTTAGCGCTAATTCTAAATCTGGGAAATGTGTTAATATGTAAATATGCAGCAAAAAACGAAAAAATCGAACAACTAAAAAGCAAATAGTAAAAAACAAAAAAATTAACCAAGTAATATTCGACAAAACGAAATTACCAAAACAACAATATCAAAGTGGTAAAAAATTTTTTTGGACAATTGAGAGCGGCAAACTGAGTGCCTGCCAATTAATTGATCGACTATAACTTTTTTTAGCCCAGGGCTCTCATCGACAAAATGCCAATCAAAAGTACAAAAATCTTGATTTTAAAGTACATAGGGACAAAATTTTCAAATTTAAAGTACACTCAAAATTAAATTCGAAAATATTTATTCGTGCTCAAATCTTTTATATTTCTCTCCTAAATGAATCTTTTCTAATAATTTCTTGCTTCCACTGAGCATTTTGTGCATTTCAATGCATGACATGTCAAAATTCGCTGACACAAGAAGTAAAGCCTGACAGTCTTAACCTCAAGCAAGCTACTTTCTTTCGTCCATTTTCAGCGCCGCAGGCGAAAATTTTGAGAATTTTAGAGCTCAAGAAGCCATATTTCTTCCATTTTTAGCGCCGCAGGCGAAAATTTTTAAAATTTTAGAAGGCCGTAGGCAAAAAAATTCACTTTTTCAGCAGCGCAGGCGAAAATTTTTTGAAATTTGGAGCCCAAAAAGCCAGATTTCTTCCTTTTTCAGCGCCGCAGGCGAAAATTTTGAGAATTTCGAAGGCCATAGGCCAAATAAATTACTTTTTTGCCCAATCCCTTCCCCAATTTCATTTTCAATCTAAAATGTTGATTTTAAAGTACATACTTTCAATAAAGTACAAATTCAATTTTGTAAGTACGGAGGTCGATTTTAAAGTACTGTACTTTCAAATAAAGTACGAATGAGAGCCCTGTTTTAGCCTTATCCAATTTTAATGATTTTTATATCAATCGAAAGCCTTTGGTAAGCGGGACCTTTTTTCCAACTGTATAGATCAAGCCTGATCGATTATTAAAAAATTACAACTCGATAAGTGTAAGAAATCGTTGTTTTTGACAGTCATCGGTTTGTAACCTCTTTGATCAGACTGAAGGCTTTTAAATGATTTAAGAGTTATCCGGATTGGACCAAGAATAGGAAAGTTAGCCGACCAAATTCTTTAAAACATTTAAATACAAATCGGAATTTAATAAAAACATTGTATAAATATTGTGATACAGCCTATGGCTAATGGGTGAAGAAGCCAATAGGTGTTAGAGATCGAGATTTTTGAAAAGCCTGGACCTGTTCCTGGACTCTGGAGTTTGATTCTTGACCTGGACTGGATCCTGGGCCTGTAGTCCAGGAAAACCCCAGGAAGGGTAAAAAATACCTGGACTCTGGGTACAGGAAAAACCCAGGCCTTGGTCCAGGTCCAGCTCGATCTCTTAGGTATAACACAATTTTTTTATCTCCAAGGGTGTATTTATAAATACAGTTTTCGACCATAATTTCATATAAATTTAATCATTCTCTTTTTGTTGTTGTTGATTATTTATATTTTTTATCCATCCACAAGGCATAGTAGAAGAATTATTTCCTACATCTCTTGACCCTCTTCTAGAATAAATTCTTCTCTGCATTGAAGTTGTTGGTTTTGATGGGGAATAATAATAATTATAAAAATCTTTTTCTTCTTCTTTTTCTTCTTCCTTTCCTTCCTCCTCTTCCTCCTTTTGTTGTTGATCAGCCCAACGAAGTAGCAACCCTTTAGCAGACAATAAAAGTTGGTGGTGTTGATTTTCTTCCTCCTCCTCCCTTTTATTTTTAATTAAATTTTCTTTAATTTTATTATTCTCAATATTTATTCTTTCATTATCTATACTTGTTCTTCTTTTATCCAATTTTATAACATTTTTATCTTCAACAGAAGCTCCATCATGAGATATAGTTGTTGCTCTTTTACGCATATCTTATAAATTAATATAATTTTATTGAAAATAATTAAAAATTTATTTAAAAAATTTTAGAAAAAAATTTCTAAAAAATTTTCAAAAATTTTTGGAAGTTAAAAAATTTTTTAAAAATATTTGGGAAGCAAAAGAAAAAAGTTTACAACCAAAAGGACTCGAACCTCCCATCTTCTAACTTGAAAGGCAAGAACGTTACCAATCAACCAACTCAACCTCTGTCATTCCTTTTTTTTATTTTCAACAAAATTTGGTTAATTTAAGCTCCAAAATTAATTAAAAATTTATTAATAAATTTTTCTGGAATTTCTAAAAAAATTTTTCTCACCCCCGGGTGCTCTATTTAATAAAAGCTGTCCCCCATCTTTTGACATTCTTCTTCTCTTAAAATTATTAAATTCTGTTGTTCCCCCCACATTAAATGTTGACTGTCTTGAAATACGTGGGGAAGTTGCTGCAGTCATTACCCCCAATGTTGGACGAAAATTTGAAGCTGTAGTCGCCCAAGCCTATGGTAGCTAGCGAAAGGAAGCTGGAAAAAATTTAGGGAAATTAAAAAAAAATTTTTAAAAATTTCAAAAATTTTTTCAAAATTTTTTAAGCTTCAAAAAAATTATAAAACAAACGAAAAATAAAAAGCATCTCCAAAACCTAAACCTCCAATCAACAATTTTCCGTCTTTACTCCAATCTAGAAGAGAAACTATAGTTGAAACAAATAAAATATAAATTGCAACAATGGGTAATAATAATGAAAGAGACAATTCTTCTTCTTCCTCCTCCCCTTCCCCTTCTTCTAATTTATTTTTTTCGACTATTTTTGATTCTATATCTTCTTCATTAATAATATCAGAAACATAGGCGCGCAGTAACCAACGACTTAAAAAAAAATTTTTTTTAATTTTAAGAAATTCAATAAAAATTTTCTTTTTATATCAAAAAATAGAGCAGAATCCGGGCTACAAATTAATATTTAATTCCAACCAAATTCAACAAAATATTCGTCAAAAACCGCTTAAAAATGGCCTAAAATCATGTCAAAAATTATGACCTCACCCCATATAAAAATTCATAACTTGGCGAAAAATAAAGATTTTTGTTTCATTTTTGGGGTATTTTGTAGCTGAGATTCTGCTCTATTTTTTGATATAAAAATTAAATTTAAAACTTTTTTAAAGGTAAAGTTATTAAATTTAATGTTGATTAATTTTTAAATAAATTTTTAAAAGATTTTTTTGGTTAAGTGCAAACGTTTTTTCCTATAAGGGAGAAATTAATAAAATGGGTATAAGGTTCGAATCCGTTGGGCGCCCAAACACTTTTTTCTATATTATTTTGAATGATAAATTTAAAAAATAATAAAAGAGGCATTTTAAAAATTTTTTAAAAAATTTTTCGAGGTCCTACAAAAATTTTTTAATTTTAGAGGGTCGATGGTTCGAACCCGTTCGGCGCCCAAACATTTTTTTGTGTTATTTTGAATTTTTAATAGAAAATTCAAAGTTTTAGCAAGTTGTAAACAAGAAGAAATTTTTATTTCCTACCGATAATATTCTCTAACACTTTTACGGCAATACAAAAGAAAACCAAGTATTAACTGCCCAACATCCCCAAGTACCATTAACATCATGGGAATGCCAAACAGACTTGAATTTTTTAAATAAATTTTTGAATAAAAATAAAGTATACGCATATATGATAGAAGCCTAAAAATTTTAAAAAATTTTCAAAATTTTTCAAAAAAATTTTCATGGGAAGGGGGTCAAAGGTTCGAACCCTCTCGAGGCCCGAACATTTTTTTTCTGATTTATATTTAAATTAGAATGAAAAAATAAATAATAGAGGTTATTTAGACATTTTTTGAATTTTTTAAAAAGGCATCACAATTTTTCAAAAAAAATTTTTCCTTACAAATTTTCCGAGAGCTGTTTGACAGGCAATTGTTCCATAACCTAGTTTAGGGAAATTTTAAAAATTCTAAAAAAAAATTTTTCAATTTACCTATTGTTGTAAAAAGTGTCATTGCTGTTTTAAAAATAAAATAAATTTTCAATCAAAATTTAAAAAAAACCGTAAAATACAGAAGACCCAAAATACCAATTTAGAACATTATTAAGCGCCAAGGTCTCGTATTTGTGAAATACTGAACCAATATATCTTCCTTCAATCTAGGAGGTTTTTTAAATAATAAAAAAAAAATTTCGAATTGAAAAAATTTTTTAAAAATTTTTTTTTCAAAAAAATGTCTCTGTCTTCTACTTGTCTCTCTTATAAATTACTACAGCGTTATACACTCTCTCGCTTTTTCTCTGTCAAAACATTTCCGGAAAACCCTTTCCGGAAAATAAATTTAATTAAATTATGGTCAGACAAAAAGGGAAATAGTACGCGTCTATGTACATTTACATAAGAGAGACAAACTCTGGACATCTAAAAATTTCCTTTAAAAATTCCAAAAAATTTTCAAAAAAATTTTTTAACAGTTTACCTTCAACATTTCAGTATATCCATCACTAAAATTCAAAAAATATTTTTTTTTCAAAATTTAAATACCTACACAATAATTTCATTAATTTTTTCTGATTGTCTTGAAGTTGGTTGTATAAAGAAAATCATCGAAATATTCTTTAAAAAAATTTTAAATTAATTTCTAAAAACATTCCCTACATTTTTAATTTTAATAATTAATTTATCTAATATTTTTGTTGTTGTATGGACATTTTCAATTTCATTATCACGCTCTATTGCCTTCAAAAAATTTATTAAAATTTAATTATTGACTAATTTCCACTAAAATTTGAATTTTTTTTTTCAAATTTTTTTCAAATTTTTTTTCAAATTTTTTTCTGAAAAAATTTTTAAATTTTTTGAAATTTTTTATAAAAATTTCCTTTAACCACCTGAAACATTATACCACCAAAAATTGCATACAGCACCAATAATAAAATTAACAAAACATGTCTTATTCCAAATTGATTGTGGAACCTTTAAGAAAAAAAATTTTTTTGATACATTTAAAATCAATTTTAATTCCGTAAATGTTCTAATAGAAGCCTATGCCCTATTAGAAGCCCACTCAATTTGGGGGTATTGAAGAATGAACGCCCATACCCTTGTAGAAGCCCATGCCCATTAGAAGCCTACCAAATGGGACCCATTGAAAAATAGACGCCCAGGGCTTCTATTGGAACATTTACAGTATACACTTAAATTATAGAACGGCCCCGAATCTCCAAAAAATTTTTGAACTCCTTGAACGGCTTGAACGGCCCCTTGAACGGCCCTCCTTGAACGGCCCCAAATCTCCAAAAAAATTTCCCTCGGACCCCCCCCCCCCTCATCTCTTCATTAAAAATTTAATAAAAAAAACACCTAGCATATTGCTGAAAAATTGTAAGGCTTTTTTGTTGGGACAAAATGTCATCAAAATATTTTGACCGCTCTTTTATGTTGTTATTAATTAAATTATTAATTATTTCCCTTCCACTGTTAATTTTATTTTCATTAATTATTGTTTGGGGTTGTTCATCTTCTGATTTTTGCAATACAAATCTGCCAATTTTACGTAAATCAGAATTTTCATTTGAATTTTGAATTGTTGCCTAAAGAAAAAATTTAAGAAAAATTTTTTCTGATTAAAAAAATTTTTTTCAAAAAAATTGTCTCTGCCTTCTACTTGTCTCTCTCATACATTACTACAGCGTTGTGCACTCTCTCGCTTTTTCTCTGTCACAAAACATTTCCGGAAAATATTCTTTCCGGAAAATATTTTTATTAAATTATGGTTAGACAAAGAGTGAAATAGTACACGTCTATGTACATTTACATAAGAGAGACAAACTCTGCATGCAAAAAATTTTTTTAAAAATTATAAAAAATTTCTGAAAATTTTTTTGAAATTTTTTATAGCCTAAAAAATAATAATAATTTTTAATTAAAAAATTTTTTTATTCACCAATTCATTATTATTTACAGTAATTGCAGAAACGCCCGCACCACCACTCCATGTTTTAAAATTTCCTTCTCCTCCTTCTCCAAAAATATTAAACGATGAGGAGGGCAAAAATTTTAAAGTAAATATTGGAGGAGTTGAATTAATATTTGTTTCGTTCCATTCATATCCATAATTAATTCCGTTTTCTGAAAATATTTATTAATCCAAAATCAGAATTTAAAAAACAGAATTTTGTTGAGGAATCAGAATTTTTTAAATCAGAATTTTTAGAAATCAGAATATTCTCAAAAATCAGAATTTCTTAAAAACCAGAAACTTTAAAACCAGAATATTTCCACAAATCAGAATTTTAAAAATCAGAAATTTATGAATTAAAAATCAGAATATTAATAAAATCAGAATTTTGTTGAGAATCAAAACTTTTAAATCAGAATTTATTAAAAAATCAGAATTTTTAAAAAACCAGAATTTTCTTAAAAATCAGAATATTCTTAAAAAACCAGAATATTCTCACAAGTCAGAATTTAAAAATCAGAATATTAAAAATAATCAGAATTTCATTTACCAAATCAGAATTTCAAAAATCAGAATATTCCCAAATTCAGAATTTTCATATTTTAAAAATCAGAATTTTCATAATTTAAAAATCAGAATATATTTATTACCTCCCATATAATTTGACGTCTGTTGTTGCTGCAATTGTTCCTCCTCTCCTTCTGGAAGACAATCAAAATAATAATGATATTTGTGTTGGCCAATATTTTGCATCCTTTCCTTTTCTATTTATTTTCTTTTAAAATACACAAAAAAAGAATTTTTTTATTTTATTAAAAATTAAATTTTTAAATTAATTACCCATAAATTTAGTTAAAAAAGCCAAACCACCCTTCTCTTTCTCTTTTAAAAAATTTTTCTTATCTTTTTTATTATTTGTTTACTGAAAAAAATTTTTATTTGTGAAAGAACCAAAGGAATCTTTTTATTTTATTTTTAAAAAATTCCTTAATTTATAGGTAAACCAAAAAAATATTATTTGCAGAGACTTTTTCCTTGAAATCAGAAGTATGTTAAATCAGAATTTCTTTTTAAATCAGAATTTTTTCCTTACAATCAGAATTTTTTCTTAAACCAGAATTTAAACCAGAAAATCAGAATATTAAACACCAGAATTCTGTTAAATCAGAATACTTTTTAAAATCAGAATTTTATAACCAGAATATTAAAAACCAGAATTTAATTTTTAAATCAGAATTTCCTTCTAGAGAATTTCCTCCTTCCTTCTAGAAATCAGAATTTTTCAATTAAATATTTATAAAAATACAAAAATCAGAATTTTTAGTGTTTTCCATAAATATATATTTTCAAAAAGGATGCGTTTTTTCTTTCATTTATCAATGAATAATTTTTTGATTAAAAAAAATTTTCTTTCAATTTGTTCCTCAACCTCATCAGCGACCGGCTCAGAGATTTAAATCAAGCCTTTGATTTTTCCTGGATACATAGTTAAGATTGAGAAGCGTCTGTGATACAATATTAGCTTAGAATCTAGTCAAGCTCCTCGACCAAAATCAAAGAATCTAGGTAAAAACCTCATCAGCGAAAAAAGCAAGCTTCGGATAAGCTTTATAATTTGTAGCCAACATTAAATAATAGGAATGGTGGCATTAATAACAGGGATGAAGACAATTAATATTTGTGTAACAGTTTCGCATTTCGCGGATTTCGCGTTTTTGGACTTTCGCATTCTCTTTTTAACATTTATTTCGGGACACACCTATCAGGGGTGTGCGAGTTTCGCGTTGAGAATCAGAATTTTTTTAAATCAGAATTTATTAAAAACTCAGAATTTTTAAAAAACCAGAATTTTTAAAAAACCAGAATTTTTAAAAAACCAGAATTTTTAAAAAACCAGAATTTTTAAAAAACCAGAATTTTCTTAAAAATCAGAATATTCTTAAAAACCAGAATATTCTCACAAGTCAGAATTTTAAAAATCAGAATATTAAAAATAATCAGAATTTCATTTACCAAATCAGAATCACAAAAATCAGAATATTTCCAAAATCAGAATTTTCATAATTAAAAAATCAGAATATATGTATTTATTACCTCCCATATAATTTGATGTCTGTTGCTGTAATTGTTCCTCCTCCCCTTCTGGAAGACAATCAAAATAATAATGATATTTGTGTTGGCCAATATTTTGCATTTTTCCTTCTTTTCTAATTTTCTTTTAAAATACACAAAAAAAATAATTTATTAAAAATTAATTTTTTTTAAATTAATTACCTAAATAAATTTAGTTAAAAAAGCCAAACCACCCTTTTCTTTCCTTTTAAAAAAATTTTCTTATCTTTTTTATTATTTGTTTACTGAAAAAAAATTTTTTATTTATGAAAGAACCATCCCTTTTTTTATTTTTTAAAAAATTCCTTAATTTATAGGTAAACCAAAAAATATTATTTGCAAAATTTTCCTTGAAATTGGAATTTTTTAAAAAATCAGAATTTCATAAAACCAGATTTCTTCCTTTTTTCACCGCCGAAGCAAAAATTTTGAGAAATTTGTAAAGAGAGAAAAAATTCAATTTTTAGAGCAGAAGACAAAAAAAAATTTTTTGGAAGTTTAGATAAAATTTTTTTTCAAAATCTCATTTTTAAGAAATTACAGTAAATACTCTAATTGAAGCCCATCTCTTGTAGAAGCCCACCTCTAATTCAAGTATCCCAGGAGACCCATTGAAAAATATAAGCCCATGGCTCTATTAGAATATTTACGGTAACTTTTGTAATATTTTTCTATGGAATTTTGGCCCGAAAAAGACTTGGCCCAACTCGATAAAAATTAGGCCCGAAAAAAATAACTCGACCGTCGGCCCGACTCGAAAACGGCTACCCTACACTTAAAATATTCATAAAAAATTAAGACATTTTGTCATTGATTTTTTTATTCAGATTTTCCTTTATTTAATACAATTTTTTGAAACAAAAATTAAATAATAAATTTACTTACGTCCACAAAAAAATTTTTTTTAATTTTTAAATCATTTAAGGAGATCCTCCTCCACGTTCTCCTCCACCCCCACTTCCACTACCACCCATTCCTCCTCCCAAATAAAATCCTTCATCTTCATTACCACTAATTATACCCCCTCCAAATATTCCATCATTTCTTAAATTACTTGTTCCACCACCATTATTCCCTCCTCCAACAGTCATTGAAGTAGAACAACCTCCACCACCTTTAGATCGTTGAATGCCTTTCTCAATGCTAAAAAGAAAATTTTTAATTAAAAAAATCCTTATCCAAGTAATTTCTTTCAATCTTCTTTATTTTTCCTTAACTAGGAAAAAGACGCATAACGGCCAGATTAATCAGCTCTTACCATTATGCGTCCCTGTCACTCAATAATTTTTCTGATAAAAGACAAAAAAAAGGAAATATGGTGGATAATCGAATAGTTGGAAACCACACATATTTGTACCCCCAAAAAATGTGTACTCCAACTTAGAGTTTTCCTACACATTATCACGTTTCCACCACAAAATCAGAATAAGTTTGGCTTGCCGATTATCCGGACGAAAATTTTCGATCCGGGGAATTTCCAGAATCCGCTAATCTTAGATCAGAAGGATCTCATAAGCAATACCCCTAGAGCCCTCAGAGTACAATTCTTTTAAGCATCAAAGGTGTATATATCGCCGGCAAAATTTCATTTCATTTTAGAGTCCTCAGAGTACAATTTAGAGTCCTCAGAGTACAATTCTTTTAAGCCTCAAAAGTGTATATATCGCCGGCAAAATTTCATTTCAGGCCGAATTCAACTTGCCCGGCCAAATAAAATTTATCTTGAAATTCAATTTGGCCGCCTACGTATATATAAATAAGGTCAGACTTAAATAAAAAAAAAACTTAACAACTTACAAATTTGGATTAAGTCTAATAACATCATTAAATGAACGTATAACTTTAGATAATTCAATAATTTCATTCATTGCCTCATCTATATTTTCTTCATTTTTATTTTCATTATTTTCTTCTTCAAAAATAACAGTTTGTGTCAAATCATCAATTTGTGCATTAATTTTATTTTTTAAACGAAGACTTAAAATTAATTGTTCAACATTAGTTATTGTAGAACCTTTTGAAAAATGGGAAAAAATTTTTTCAATAAATTTTTAAATATAAAGTCGAATCTTATTATAAAAAAGGAACCTCATGGAACTGAAAAAATAAAATAAAATCTTATAATTAAGTGTCTCTTAAATAAAAGGGTATCGCTTATTACTAGGGTTGCCGTTTTCGAGTCGGGCCGATGTTCGAGTCATTTTTTCAGGTTTCATTTTTTCGAGACGGCTCGACCAAGTCTTTTTCGGGCCAAAATGCGATGCCCGACTCGATCTTTTGGTCAGAACCGGGCCGGCAACCCTGCTTATTACATATATTAGATTAATCCTTTCCACAAGTCCAGTTAAATTTTAAAGAAAAAAATTTATTTAAAATTTTTGGGGGTATCCTATAAATAGAGAGGTGTATTTATTGCATAACCAGCTTACCAAAGGCCCGTCTGTCTTTTAAAAGAAATTATAATTTTATCTGGCACGAGGTGCATTTTAAAAATTGTATGGGGTTGACTAATCAGTTTCGCTTAATTTTAAAAAAAAGGTGCATTAAATGGAAGTGTTTCTAAATTTATAATAAAGTTTCGACTATATTAAAAAATAAAAGTAAAATTAATTTAAAAACAAACCATCATTGTTAAAATTAGACGGCATATGTGCTAAACGGCAAACATCATTTAATTGTAAAGAAACAAAAATCTTTAAAAAAAATTAAAAATTGAATTTTTAAAAATTAGAAAAATATCCCCAAAAGTATAATCAGACCAAGAAAACTTCAAAAAAAATTTTTCCCTTTAAAAATAACACAAAAATTAAGCTTCCAAAACTCCCCATAACAACACAAATTTTCCTATAAAAATTTCTCTCCCGTATTCGTTGGTGTAGTTGGAAAATGTTTAGTTTGGAGGGTAAAGGTTCGACCCAAACTAGCCGAAAAATTATTTTAAAAAGCACAAAAAATAGTCTAAAAATTGTTTTTTGACGAAAATAAAACAAAAATCTACTAATTAATTAAATTAATTCACTTAAAATGGATTTTTAAATTAAAAAACCCCTCAAAATATTCAAAAAAAATCCCTTACAAGGAAAGGTTGCAAGGCTTATTCAATAGAGAATGTGCCCTTTCTAGCAAGGATTTTGGGGGCCATATCTTGGCCCCCAAATATATGGCCATCTTTGGGCGGCCATATCTTAGAAGGACATATCTTGGCCAGGTAAAAAAGGGCAAACACGGCACAAAATCCTTGCTAAAAAGGGCACATTCTCTATCGAATGAGCCCCGTCTCGACCGTTTTTAGGACACCTCGTAACCTTCCCTTGTTAGATTAAAAAAACCCTCACATTTTCAAGTCGCTTCAATGCATTTTCACGAGAAACATTAATAAGCACTTTCATAAGACCAACATTTTGATCCTTTAAAAAATTTAATAAAAAAAATTAATTTATAAAATAAACCTTTGAAAACACAGCAATTTTATCATTCAAAAAATTTTCCAAAACAACAACCAAATCTTTTTTGGCTTCCAAAGCTTTTTCAATTAAATGGGGTAAACGAATATAAACTAGAGCATAATGATAATAATTACGATTTAAACTTGGTGTTCGGTAAGAGGGCAATAAACTTGAAAAAAAAAATAATTTTTTTTAGAAAATTTTCAAGGAATGAGGAGCAGGGATGAGCGCAAGAGGCGATCATGAAAAACGCAACGCCAAAATTTAATAGGGGGGGGATATCCGCAAGATTTTCTAAAATTTATTGAAAATAGAAGGACGACCGACCAGTTTAGACCGACCAGTCGGTGTATCAATATCTATACATGATCAGCGAAAACTCCCAGCAATAAAACTGACATGAGGTCGTAGAATCATTAAAACTGTTAGTGATTAACGGGCAATCGTTGACCTGTAACCTCACCTCACCATAGTTATTTTGCTAAGAAGCTTTCACTCACCAAGTAAAGTTAAAGTGGCAACCCATCCAACTTGCCCCCAAATTACTCACAACAATAAATTTCTCTATAAAAAGTTCTCCCAATAATTCGTTGGTGTAGTTGGAAAGTGTTGAGTTTATTAGGTAAAGGTTCGAACCCGCCTAGCGTAAAATTATTTTAAAAGGTCCAAAAAAATTTTTTTTTGACCTTAAAAAATTTCAAAAATTTTTTAAGGTTAAAAAAAAATTTTTTTTGAAAAATTTTTAAGTTAAAAAAAATAAAAAAAAAACAAACTCCAAAGGTTTTTTGCGTCCAATAATTAAAGATATAATTATATATTTTTTCAATCCTTCCAAAATAATTGAAGAACAACGTTTTGACGGCAAAGTAATTAAATACTCAAGAAATAAACACGAATCTTCCCATTTTTCCAAAGCTCCATAAATTAAAGCACCATAATAAAAATATAATAGAATTGAACGTCGATTGAATAAAACAACTGCTTAAAAAATAAAAAAAATTTTTTAGAGGCTCCACGAGCTAATTATCGGACGATCTATAATTTAAAATAAAGTTCTATTATCCGAAAAGCCTTGTAATAATGCAATGATTCTCATTAAACTGAAGCGACCCTTTGTTTGAGATTCGAAAATTTTTACTGTGATGGAGTAAAAAAACATAAACTGGGCAAGCAGATGTTCGGGGTGTACTCATTAAAAATACGGGTAAAAGGGAGTAGATAGGGGGAAGAGAAGAGGCTCTCCCAATTTTTCCTTATTTTTCATTATTCCTTTTGATTTAGTCAATTAAAAAATGACTAAATTTATTAGTTACAATTTTTAATATTAAATATCCATTTCTTCTAAAGAGCACGTAAATGCTTGTTGTAAAATTTATTTAGTGGCCAGTGCCATAAAATCCAAAAAAATATCTTTTGACTAGGGAAAAAGTCGGAAAAATCCAGTCAGCAAGAAATCCCCACCCCCTTTAAACAGCCCCAGAAATTAAAAAAAAACAAACTTTGAAGAGTAGGTTTATTGCAAGGTACATCACTTTTTGTATTGCCAAAAGTTCCAGAAAACGTGTTGACAGCTAGTAAAAAATAATTTTTAAAAATTCTTTGCAAAAAAACCTTTTTGTAAGAAAGAAACTGCCGTCGAAGTTAAACTACTCGAATTTGTAGGGGCTGTTGTTGTTGTTGTTGATGATTGTGGCGGTTGTTGTTGTTGAGTTGTAGACGTATTCGAATTATCAGTCGAAGTCACCTTTAAAAAAAATTTTTTTTAAATAATTTTGAGGATTTTTTAGGGAAAACTCTTCAAATAAAATTAAAAAATACACTTTCCAACTACACCAACGAATATTGGAGGAATTTTCTATAGGGAATTTTGAGATGTTTTTTCTCTTAAGTGAACCTTTTTTTGCTCCAACCTTAATTTAGCGAGGTATTCTCAGATCGAGTTTAGGATGTAGATAAAAAAAACCACATTCCCATCCAGGCAAAACCGTCCCATCCAATAGTTTGCCCAATAATTCATCCCCTTTTAGGCTTGTGGAACTACGGGGACGTTTCAGAGGTGGGTCGGAACAGTCAGAGGTGTCGGAAATCGGAACTGGCTCAAAAGTCGGAACTCAAAAATCAAAATTTTTTTCGGAAATCGAAAGGAAAAAACGTCGGAAATCGGAATTCCGACCCACCTCAGAGACGTTGTCGGCTTAATTAAAAATACTCTTATTTCTTAAGCTTATAATTTTTAATTTTTTTAGCATTTCCTTTAACTAGACAAAAATAAAAAATTAAAAAAAAATTATTTTGTTAAATTAAAAACCTCACTAACATTTTGTTGTTGCTGTTGACTTGTTTGAAAACTAACAGCACTATACGATTGCTTCAATAATTGTGTTACATCAATTTTTAAGAAAGGTTCAATATTATCAAAATAGCGAGCTTTAAGACACAAACAAAACAAAAATGGGTGAATATTTGTTAACCAATTAGAATTTCCTTGTGTAAAAATTAAAATTGATGTTTTTAACAAATTTATTCCCCAAATTGCAACTTTCTTTTTTATTAGCAAATCTGTTGTAAATTCGAGAAGACGAGTATCTTAATAAGAAAAAAATTGAAATTTTAAACAAGAAAAATAGTTAAAAGCAGCAAGAATTAAAACACTAAAGGACAAGGGCGTAGCCAAGGGGTCGATTTCAGGAGGAGCCCCCAAAATTTTGGGATTTACTTTAGCGTTAATAAATCCAATTTTTTGCCCCATATTTTTATTTTTGAGCGCCGCAGGCAAAATTTTTCAAGTTGGAAGGTCATAGGCAAAAAAAAATTCCATTTTTTTTGCTCAATCCCCACATCAAATTTTTCCCCTTTCCCGATTTCGGCGGGAAGGAGGGCTTAGCCTAAGAAGCCCACCTGGCTACGCCCTTGCTAACGGATAATTAAAATTAATCCTTTTTTTCAACTTCGACTAGTCCAATACATCAATACTTGACGAGATATTGGACGAATTGAGAAAAAGTCAAGTCCGTCCAAATATCTTGTCAAATGAAAAAAAGTCAGAAATATAGTCAAAAAAGTTAACAGAAAACAGGAATAGAATTAAAGGGCTTCTAAATGCCTATATTTTTCTAAATTTCCCATTTCCTTAGGCTTGAAAAACTCTCAAAAATCAAATATTAAAGAATTAATATACAAATATCCGGCGCCCAATGCAATTGTTGAACATCAAAATTTGGAAGAACCTCATCGAATCCAATCAAAAAATCTTTCAATTCATTTTCTGTCTTCACTTTTGTCACCTAACACAAAATTAAAAAATAATTTAAAAAATTTCTTTCAAAAAAAACCTTGCAAAACAAACAACAAACAATTGCCAAAGTAAAAGACGTTGTAGTTTGAGACTGCACCAATTGATTTAATAAACGATCAGCTTCAACAAAATTGAGTTTGTCGTTGTTTTCGTCGAACCATTTACGGCAAAAATGAACAAGATCGTTACTTGTACCTAGAAATGAGGAAAAATTTTGAAAATTTTTTTAAATAAATAAACCGTCTCCCGTCAAATTTTGTACAGAAGCTATAAATGCTTGAATATTGACCATAATAATTATCTTTAAAAATCATAAAAATAATTAATCAATTAAGAAAAAATATTTAAAGCAAGAAAATGCTATATTTTTATGTAGAAAGAAAATTTATAAAATTTATTTTAAAAAATTAAATTAGAATAAGGCGGTTAAATTTAAAAAAATGCTTGTAAATAGAGCACTGATTGAGAAAATCCGTCTAGAATGTCTAAAATAAAATAATGTCTAAAATAAATAATCTGTCTGAAATTTCGGTTATCGAAATTTTGTTCGGAATCACAATCCTCGAAAATAATTTTTCTGGTTTTTTGAGATCTCAATTCTTGTACGACCTTTCCAATCCGAGCTCTAATTATTATAAATATACATGCCGAGAATTAAGTAAAAAAAAAGTAGAACTAAAATGAGAAGTTCTAAAAAAAAGAATAATGTAAAAAAAATAAATGCCACACAAATTAGAAAAATATGTATATGTATTACTTAATTTGAAACGAAAAATAAATTAGACCATTCTTAGACAAGCAAAAGACATGGCAAAAAATATATATGTATTAAAAACAACTTTAAAAAAAATCGAGAACCTTGGTTAGACAATAAATCCATCAAACAATAATTTAAGATTCATCTTCAGTAGCCATTTTTTAAGTTTAACGTGATCCTCCTCTTTTAATTGCTCCTCTACTTATGACATTATTCCAACTCTTACTTCCTCTTGTAGAATCATTACTTCCACAGACAGGTAGACCACGTCCAGATATCCATTCATTTCTTCCTCTACCAGCAACCTGACTTCCTCCAGCTCGTTCAGCTCCAGTAGTCATTGAAGTAGAACATTCTCCACCATCTGCACTTCCTTTTGATTGTTCATTGTCTTGCTCATCTTTCCTAAAAAAATTAAATTAAAAAAATTGAAGTCATCACCCCTAAAATTTTTCTTTTTCCTCCCCCCTTTCTTTATACTTTCATAAAAAATTCCAAATGATTCAATAAATTCCAATACATAAAGTCCCATTTTTTAATCAAATCTATGCGTACTCTGACCCTCAATTAAGTATATCCCCATAATGTTAATTAATAAATTCAATAAAAATATAATTTTACATTTCATAATCAGTAGCCACGTACTCAAACCAATAAGGACCACAACCACCAATTTTCGACTCAATAGACTTTTTATTCAAAAAAATAGAATCGATTGTTGTTGCTTTATCTGTTGGAAGAAATTTCTCAAGATGCTTTTTGAAAACTTCTTTATCAATTTTTTTGAAATGCATGCAAAAGTCTTCGACGTAATCTAAAAACTCGTATACTTCTTCCGTGCTTGCATTCCCCGTGTAGTAATTCTGATGAGCTCTAAAAAATTATTTAAGCAATTCTAATAATGAGGACTGTCCAACTACACGCCTATAAACCAACTCAGATTATCAAAAATTTTATTAATGTGACAACTATTACTATATTGTGTTAAACTAATGAAATCCCAAGTTAATTTATACAATAAATTGAAAAAAATACTTATTCATGTGTCTGATGATACTTCTGAAATGTGTGGAAGGGTATTGTTTATAGTACCATTCAGCGGCAAAACGTGCTAAAGTCTGCGACGAATTATGGCTTTTAAGCAAAATCTTAAACTCCTTGTAAAACAAAGCCACTTCAATTACAAAGGCCCCCCAAATCTAAAATCCAAAAAAAAATAAAATTTTAAAGAAAATTAAAAAAAAACTGCTTCGGAAGCAAGACCCTCATCACGTTTTTCTTCACCAAACAAAAACTTCCTAGCTCTTTTAATGTACATATCAGAAGACACATAAACCATCTTTTCTTTTCCATCCTGGGTGGAACATTTAACTTTTGTCATAATCAAATCATGAATTTTCTCATAAAAGTAATTCGAATCGGCAACCATTAATTCCTCAAAAGTTTTGCCAGTAACCTCATCCCTTTTGAGCAACTATAAATCAAAAATTTTAATGCGTATATAAATAAAACACTCATACTTTATATGCATCTTCCAATTTAATATATTTCTCTGCCTTTTCTTTTGTTTTAGAATAGTTATTTTCATATACATCAAACAATTCGGATATTTTTTGAGGAGTATGTTCACGTTTAAATTCCACTCCATATACCATTGAATTATGTGAGTAACACATAATAAGATTTTCTTTATAAAATCTTTTACGAGGCTAAAAATAATTGATGAAATCACAAGAATAGAAAAATGTAAAAAACCGTTTCCTCAGAAGAAGCATTACTAGAACCAGTACTTGAAGCCAGAAGTCGAACATTTCCTTGTGAATTCAAAGGGTCATTTTCTTTATTTTCTAAATTTTCTTTAGCAGCCAACTAAAAAAAAACTACATAAATGTTTGTTGATTTTAAAATTACAATGTTTTTCTCTGGTTTTTTCCGTTTATTTGTTTCTGTATTTTTGATAACCAAATTAGAGATCGGAGATTTCTAAAAATAAAATATAGCATAATAGAGAACAAATAGCAAAACCTCCGAAGCCAAACAACCGCCTCTATTAGAATCATCAACATTTTTTATTGAAGGATCCTAAAAATGGTTTAATATGATCACAAAATATTTTTAAACAAAAACCTCTTTTGTAGTCACAACAGTGTTAGCTTTGCAAGAAACATTTTTTTCTGAGTAACCATTATTCATAGTGTTCGATAACTAAATAAAAATGAAGAGTAGAAAATAAAATAATAAAAACCTGTTTATTCATTGAAGAATCAACATTTAATACAGGCTTGATTAATTTATTAACAGCACTTTGTTTCTCAGTCAACTATTAAAAAACAAAATTGGGTACTTGTGGATTGTCCCAAACAAGGTTTTGCGGACATATTTAGGCGTAAACATTTTGAACGGAATGGTCAAAGGTTCTTCCTTCCTCGAAGGTCTTAACTCTGGACTGTGTTCTAGCCAGTGATAATTTTTGTTGTTAATTTATGCTTTGGCGACGTCCAAAAGAAAAATAATTACAAAGTACCAAGAACACATAAACCCTCATTAGGTATTGACGCAGGGAAAATTGAGTGAAATCGAGGAAGAATGAACCTCTGTAAAAAATGTCAGCATAAGTCCGCAAACACTGGTTTGAAATAACCCACAATAACCCTCCCCCTCCCCAATAAACTCTATCCGTTTATATTTTAAGGAAACCTTTTGAGATATATTCGAAGAGTTAACGATTGATGACCAGGAACAACTTTGGACAAAACTGTTGTCACTTGCAGATTTTTTTACTTGAGAATGAACCAAATTTGGTTTTGTTTCAATACTATTAGATTTTAAAGAAGTTGGCGGTTTTTGAGGTTTGTCCTTGCCACCAATTGTGTTTCCAGTCTAAATTTTCAGAAAATTATTTTACTAAAAATTCTTATTAAACCTTTTTTGAATCTGCTTTAGACATAAAAGATCCTTGACGACCTCCACGGTTTGATTGACGAACATTAAGCCTTGACGTTGAAGGCTTATTCTGTTTAGCAATTTCCTTTGCCTCCTAAATTAATAGAAAATTATTTCACAATAAAAACACGGTAAGCTTGTAACTTACTGAAACCCCCCCCCCCTCCTAGAAAAAAAAACCGACTAAAAATAAAATCAATAAGAAGTGGTTTTTCGACATTTTTGTGGTTTGCCAGTAGGCCAGGTCAAATCTGCGTCGACTCAAAACAAACAAATTTTAAGCCAATATCTGGATTTGAAATCAGAATCGGATTCATTGTCAGCACACTAGACTACCTACTAGCAAACCTCAAACATATCAAAAAACTTAATGGTACCGAGGAACAGAAATTAAAAGGTAACCAAAAATTCATATTTAACTAGTCATCTAAATTAAGTGTCAAATAACCTTTTTTAGTTTCCTTCTATTCACCACCTTAGTGCCTCCTTTAAGTTCTCCATCGCTCTAAACGATAAAAATTAAATTTCAAAAAATCTTGACAAAATTTTTACGTCAAGATCTGAACCAGGCCTTTCCATCTTTAAATTATTTAATTTGATGAAATTATTGATCCAACGCTCTAAAAAACTTAAACGAAATATTCTACCAAAAATAAAGATATTTGATTGTAAAAAAAAGTTGAAGTTAAACAAAAAAAAAACATGTTTAAGAATTCATACAAGAAAACCAACAAAAAATAAAGATAAAAAAAAGTTTAAATAATTGTCATTTAATTTAAAGAACAAAACGCCAAAAGGTGATAAATGAAAACAGGGACGCGCCCAAAACGGCGCGAAGCCATAACGGCGCGAAGCCATAACTTGCTTCAAGATTTCTCAATTCTAACAGATTTAGTATCAAACGATTCCTCTCATCGAGCTAGGGAGATCGGTACCAAGATTAACAAAAGCCAGACATTTTCCAGCAAGTTATGGCTTTGCGTCGTTATGGCCGCGCGCCGTTTTGGGCGTACCCATGAAAACATGCTTAATTCGGTAAAGCCAAAATTCCTTTTTTTAAGGACAAAAATTTAACAACTAAAATTTTATTTTTCCTCTTTATCCTCTTCTAAAAGTTGTCCATCATCGTGGCCCTCATCATCCATGAAATTCAAAAGCAGTCTATGTCGAAGCATTTCCTCAAACGCTGCCATCCGCTGGTCTCCAGTACGTTTGAAGCGATCCATCTTAATTTATGTATTTTTACTGAAAAATAAGGTAAAATACCTACCAGGGTCAATTTGGTTCCTTTGATTGTTAATTGTTGATCATCGTCCACTTCATCCACTTGATCACTTCCTCCTCCTCGTCCACTTCCAGTAGTCATTGAAGTAGAACATTCTACACCATTTGCACGATCTATAATTTGTTGAACCTCTTGCTCACTCCTAAAAGTTAAATTAAAAAAATTAAAGTAATCGCCCCTAAAATTTTTCTTTCCCCCTTCTTTATACTTTAATGAAAAATTCCAAATGGTCACTGGCACATAATGATCCCATTTTTAAATCAAATCTGTTTATCCTTAACTTATAAGTATACCCCCATTGTGTAAACCAATTAACTTTAAAAAACCAAGAAATTCTATAAAAATATAATTTTACATTTCTCTATCACTAGCGACGTATTTAAAACAAGGAGGTCCACGACCACGAGTTTTCGACTCTTTCAATTTTTTCAGAGGTTTAACCACCGACTCTTCCAATTTTTCCACATGTTTAACCAATTTAATATAGTGATTAGTAAATGCATCAAGCTCTTCGGATAATTGTTGAGTAGAATAATCACTGATGTCTTTTTCACATAAAAGCGAATAATAATAAGCACATACAGCAAGTTTTTCTTCTAAAATTTTTTCTTCAGGCTAAAAATAATTGATGAAATCACAAGCAAAAAAACATTAAAAAAAAACTTTACATCAGAAGAAACAGAACTACCCCTTGGTACTAGAGGTCGAACATTTGCCTGAGAAGTCGAAAGAATATTTTCAGAATTACCCAACTAAAAAGAAAAAAAATAAGGCCGAAACCCGACATGTTTGTTAATTTAAAAAATTACAATGTTTTTATGTTGCTTTTTTCGTGTATTTGACATGCCATAATCAGTAGCGACGAACTTCCAGCAATGAGGTCCACGACCACCAATTTTCAACTCTTCCAAAAATTTCGCATGTTTAACCATCAACTCTTCAAATGTTTCCACATATTTAACCAAGTTAAAATAGCGATTAGCCATTGCATTAAGCTCTCCGGATAATTGTTGGCAAGAAACATTACTGACGTCTTTTCCACATGTAGGAGACATTTGTGAAATAAATTTTTACTAATTTGTAATTACTAATTGATCGGCTATAAATTAAAAAAAAACATTTTTTAAACAAAAAATATATAAAAGAAATGAAAAGTTTATAGAAACTTTGATAGAGGGAAAAAAAAGAATTTTTTTCCTTCCCCCAGTCCACGTTTTAGTTGAAGTATGAAATGGTCTATAATGTCCCCAGCCTTATCTCGCAATTTAATGAGGAACTTATTAAAACAACTATAATAACAATTTAAACTATTTATTTATTAAAAGTCCAGTTCAAACTAAGGCAAACAATTAGAAATATAAAAAGCTATTTATATGGATGATAAAGGGCGGGAAGTAATGAAAGGTTAACTATTTACAAGTTTGAAATATATACAAATGTAGGTTAAGGAAAAGGCTGATAAGAAACGGGTGGGGGCTAACTCAAGGAATACCAACTCAAGGAACATACTAAACAAACAAGTCAAGGAACAGACAAGTCAAGGAACAGACAGGTCAAGGAACGACCAACTCAAGGAATGACCAACTCATGGAATATTTTAAAAATCGAAATTTCTTGAAAAATCTGAATATTTTTAGAAAATAAGAATTTAAAAACACATTAGAACACTTTAAAAAACAGAATTTAAAAAAATTCTGAAAAATTCTGTGTTTTAAAAATATTCTGATTTTAAAAATATTCCATGAGTTGGTCATTCCTTGAGTTGGTCGTTCCTTGACCTGTCTTTTCCTTGGCTTGTCCGTTCCTTGAGTTAGCCCGACACGATAAGAAACTATAAAGGGAAATAAATTCAAATAATGTTTTAGGGGAAATGTTGTAAAATGTTATGAAGCAAAGAAACATTTGGAATATGTTTTGGGGGAATAGTTTGAATAAAAAGGGAAAAACTTTAAAATAAATAAAAAGAACGTTTTAAAAATTAATGACAAATAATCTAGATCCAACATGGTCATTCAATCTTTCCTTGCATAACTTAAAATTCCCCACAACATTTATTCACTCACTTACACATTAGCTCTTGTTATTAATGACTGAATAAATCGATGTTTATTTTTTATATTTAAAGACGGTTAAACGCATGCCAAGTAGGCGTAAGGACAGGTATGCGCAAAATGGGGAATGTTGTTCTAACAACGGGGAATAATTCCAAGAACTGGTGTGAAGGTTGTTCCTCGCGTTCAAACCACGAGTAATGTTGGCTTAATGGAAAACTTATTCCAACAAACAACATTCCTCATTGGAAAATGATACAGTCATAAAATATTTTTAAACAGAAACTTTACAAATAAAATTCGAAAATCATAAAATTTCTGTTTAACAACAAATACATTTTGAATTGATAAATGAATCTTTGATTGAAAAATTCTTCAAAAAATCATCTGAATCTATTCTAAATAATTTGTAAACATCCAAATCTTTGACCATTAAATTGATCATTCCATTAGATAATAATTTGATTCTTGGGTTAAAAATACCCCATTTGCAAAGTTTACGTTCCATAAGGTTGAGGAAAGCTTTAAAATGTTTTTTTCAAATTTGTACATTTTATTTAAAAAATTAAATATATTCGGACCTCTATTTTATGTATACCCGTGAGACAGAAAAATTTTTATACATAAAAATGGGATAGCTAAAAACGAAGATTCCACTTAGGGAGCCCCCTTCCCATGATCAACTTAATTTAAGAAAAGCATCTTAAACCGAATTTCATGGGTGTATGTAAAATTGAGGGTTGTCTGACTTATAAAATATTAAAAAAGTAACCTGAACTAGAAGACATATTGAGAAATTTTGTTGCAAAATTAATTATAGCATTAAGAATAGAATCACGAAAGCCTTCTTGTAATGTTGCTACTGGAACTTTGAAAAAATCGGCATTTTCAAGAATTTCCAATTTCGGGATTGACAAGGAAACTGGAAAAAAAATTTTTTCTTCATTTTAAAAATCAAAAAAAAATTTTTCTTAACCATTTTCCATTCCAATATTTAATTCAATAATTGTAAAAAATGGAATTTGAGCAATTTGCTGTCCTAAAGGATCACGAGCCAAAAAGAATATTCCAACGCCTGATAATGAAAGGGTTGCCAAATCTACATAAATGAGAAAAAAATTTTTTTAATAAATTGTATATCGTAAAAAAACCTTCCGTGACATTTAAAATTGGTGCTTCCGTCGGTACAATCTAACAGAAAAAAATTTTTTTTAGAAAAATTCCCCAAAAAATTAAAAAAAACCTTCAATTCCAATTGCTCATTTGGATATATTTCACTAGCTTCAGGTATTGTATCCCCCAAACAAACATTGTCTAGATCACAGCTAGTGCGCAAAAGGGGACCAAATAAAGGAGAGTGTTGACCAACATAAATGCTCAATAGATTGGCTCTAAAATTTATTTAAAAATAAAATTAATTAGGAAAAGTCAGGAAGGTTTAAGAAAGGGTAAATTTCGACCTATCATTAAAAATCTTTAAAATTTGAGGTTTGTGCAAAAGCACAGTCTCTACGACGGAGTTTACCCCAAGTGTTAAAAAACATTTTTTTAATTTATAAAAATTATTTATTTATTATTAAAATAAAAAAAATTTTTCTTCAAAAAAATTTTTTTTGAATGTGGAAACTAGTCAAGTTACTCGGTATGACTCGATATATGTCATCAAGGCCAAAATGAACTAGTTCTCCCCAAAAGCATTTTTAAATGAAATTATCTCCTCTCTGGATGAAAGAACCTTCGGTATACACCACATTAAGTTTTTCCCCCTCAAAAACATTTTTAAAACAATTTTAAAAAATACCTAAAAGCCTTTAAAAGAAGATTGTTTGCTGTTTGCTGAGTAAAAACAATTTCTATACTTCCCTCTCTTCTCCATTCAAAATCATTAGAAATTGAAGTAATATTTTGTAAATTATCATCAAATAAATTATCAATTTCTAAAACAGAATTGTCAACATTTTCAGAAACAAATAAAAGATCATTGTCATTATTAGTTGATGTTTGTAGAGAATTGTTGTTGTTTAATTTATTAATGTTTTGCTAAATGTTAAAAATCAGAATAATAAAAAAAACATGTTTTAAACATTTTTCCGGAAGTTTTAATAAAATTCTGATTTTTACGGAGTGTTTTAATAAAATTCTGATTTTTACGGAAATGGTTTTTATTAAATTCTGATTTTTCCGGAAATTGTTTTAATAAAATTCTGATTTTTCCGGAAATTGTTTTAATAAAATTCTGATTTTTCCGGAAGGTGTTTTTATTAAATTCTGATAATTCCGGAAGGTGTTCTAATAAAATTCTGATATTTCCGGAAAATGTTTTAATAAAATTCTGATATTTCCGGAAAATGTTTTAATAAAATTCTGATATTTCCGGAAAATGTTTTAATAAAATTCTGATATTTCCGGAAAATGTTTTAATAAAATTCTGATTTTCCGGAAAATGTTTTTATTAAATTCTGATATTTCCGGAAAATGTTTTAAATAAATTCTGATTTTTCCGGAAGGTGTTTTAATAAAATTCTGATTTTTCAGAAATGTTTTTATTAAATTCTGATATTTCCGGAAAATGTTTTAAATAAATTCTGATTTTTCCGGAAAATGTTTTAAATAAATTCTGATTTTTCCGGAAAATGTTTTAAATAAATTCTGATATTTCCGGAAAATGTTTTAAATAAATTCTGATTTTTCCGGAAGGTGTTTTAATAAAATTCTGATTTTTCAGAAATGTTTTTATTAAATTCTGATTTTTCCGGAAAATGTTTTAATAAAAATTCTGATATTTCCGGAAGATGTTTTAAATAAATTCTGATATTTCCGGAAAATGTTTTAATAAAATTCTGATTTTCCGAAAATGTTTTTATTAAATTCTGATTTTTCCGGAAAGTTCTATTACAATATTATATATTCAGTATCGGTTTATTATTTTTCCGAAAACTATTTATATTTCCGGAAAGAAAATATAATTACTATTTAAGTTTAATTTACCTCATCAGAACTATTTTTAGCTATAAAAACATCACCCATCAGACCAACAGAAAAATAATCAACGCCAGCAGAAGAATCCAAAAATTCCAGATTAATAAGTACATGTTTAAGAGCATTCTAAAATTAATTTTTTTATTTTTAAAAATAATTTTATAAATTTACCAAATCCAAAAAATCCAATATTTTATTTAAATTATAGTCAGAAAAGGTAGTCGTTGTTGGTGTTGCTGTCATGTTACACCTAAAAATGACTTGAAAAATAAATTTTTTTTTAATTTTAAAAAATTTTAAATTTTTTAAAAAAATTTAAAAAATTTTTTTAATTAAAAAAAATTAATTTGTACCCATTTTTAACACATTCCTCAGTTCCTCTAAAATTTTCAAAAAGAGTAACCATAATATCTGACACACTCAAAAATTGCGGCAATTTTGAAAGAACTAAATTGACGCGTTCTCTAATAGTTTTAAAAATTGTGTTACATATTGTACTGGTAATTAAAGCTTTGGCTTTGGATAAAATTTCATCCTTAAAAAATTTTTTTGAAAAATTTTTTTTAAATTTTAAATTAATTTTAAATAAACCTTATATTTTAAATTTATTGAATCAGTAAATAAACCAAGATCGGTAACCTTTGTATTTATAATTCCGTCAATTAATTCACAATTGACCATGCGTAGAGAAGGTACCTAAAATGAAGGGAAGAGTTTTAGAAATGTAAAAAAACGATTTTAGGTAAGAATTTAAACTGTTAAAATTAATTGGTAGGGCATAAAAATTACCAAATATTTATAGAGATTTTAGTAATTTCAAAAGGGCGTAGTGTGTCTCCTTGTGTGTCCTCCTTGCAATTGTCCCCCCCCCCCTTCTCTCAAATTCGACCTATGGTCATGCCCTTATAATTTCAGTTTTTTTTAGTCAATTCCAGTTCACGTTTCCACCCATGTCAGCTGGCATCTTTTCGTTAAGGACTAAGGGAAGAATAAAGAGTTTTGGCAAACTCAAGATTTTTTACCCCAAAATTTCTTAATAAATCAGCTAATAAACCTCGAAAGCCCCAAAATCCATTTTCGAGGCAGGTTTCTTATTTCATAACCTTTCCGAAAATATTACAATTTCATCTAATGTTTACCCCCCCCCCCCCCCCCAATAATTCTAGAAACCCTTAAATTTAATTTAAAAAATACAAACCTTTTTCACATCCTTCTGTAACCCCAACAAAGCTTTAATTGAAAGTTCTTGGGCATCCACATAAAAATTGCCAGAAACAGGCATTGGAGTAAATAATAAAAATTGAATGTTTCCACTCAATAAACTCTCTATATTCAAGTCAAAATTGGCGATGTTTAAAAGCAACAAGTTTGGTCCTAACGGCTTCACTGTAAAAGTTTCAGGCTTTTGAAAGTTGACAATTTGAAAAGTGTGGAGTCGAAAACACCCTTCAGGGAAGCATTGCTTTTGAGGTGGAATTTGAAGAGATTTTGCTTCTTCACTAAAAATGTTGTCTGGAAAAGGAGAATATTTATTGGAATCCATAGATATTGGTCAAATTTATGAAGTTTTAGTTATGGTTAACCTCAAGCAATGTAAGACCAAAAATACCTTATACGAGTCATGGATTTGTAGTTAGAGAGAAACTCAGACCCAGGGAGCGGGAAAAGACCTGAATTGAACTCTGGGTGGATAAAAAACACAGGAAATGGTCCAGACCCAGAGAAAAAACCCAAATTTTTGGCGCCGAAAGGGCCAAAAATTTGGGTTTTCAGTGCCGCAGGTGAAAATTTTGAGAATTTTAGAACCCCCTGGCTACGGGCTTGACCCAGAAAACGACTAAAACCAAATAACTCTTATTAAATCCATAACCCTATTTAGAAAACATACATAAAAATAAACCTACGAAAGAAATGAGCAACATTGTCAAATACTGGAGGATTGAATCGAACCTTAAAAAATAATAAAAATCCACAATTTCTCAAAAATTAAAAAAAACCTTAATTCCAGCCTGTCTAGAAAGAACAAAACCACTTTTAGACCTTCCATCCTCTCCCGTCACATTCTTCTCATTTCCTTCCAGTCCCTTCTCCACCACATTCTTCTCATTTTTCGGTGTCGCAATCTCCGTTCCAAAGGGAATTAAAGGCGGAAAACCAAAAAATGTGTTTGAAGCAAACATTTGGTCGAGTGTTGGTAATTGCCAGGAAATTTCTGGTGACGAAAAAATTGAAGTTATTGAAGGTGTTGGAGGCAAAGAAGGAAGTTGAGGTGTTGAAAATGAGGTAAAATTATTGTTTTCTTCTACGACAGGAATTGGTAAAGGAAATTCTTGTTGAGTGGACGAAGGTAAAAATAAATGGATTGTCCACAGTAGAAAGGAAAGGAAGGGCTAAAATATGGGAAAAATAAATTTAAACGAAGGCCACTAGTCTAGTTTATTTGCTGGTCATTAAAAATGAGCAGAAAATGTCTTTAGATATTTTTGAAGTCTGCCAAGCCAAAAGGGGTAATTGAGAGTCGGTCGAGAGTCCGGTAATCGAGAGTGCTGAATCCAAATATTAGCTTTCGGTCTAGCTCAATCAGGGATTTGCAAAAGAACAAGTTCTAACAGAAGCAATTGGGCTATAACTATTTCTCTCCTTCAGCTAGTGCAGAAGGTTTCGGGGCGGCTGGGAGCGAACCAGCATCTTCAGTAAACTGGACTTATTTGTTATCCGTTACACAACGCCGCCTACTGCACAGCTTAGGAATTAAATAGCTATAAGCTTTACAAAAAGCTAATATTGGGATTAAGTAAACTTAATTACCTATTGGCCGCCTCAAAGGATTAGAAAGAAAAAAAACCCTAAAGCAAACCTAGCAGACCTCAAAAAATATAGAAAAACTTCCTGCTATTTTCTATGGGCCAGTAAACTAGAAAGCTTCCCAAAAATTAAAACAATAAAAAACCTTCATATCCAAACTTCAAACAATTAGAATAAATTTTCTGTTTAACAAACAATCCAAAATGTTGACGTTGACATCCATACCTTCAAAGATAGGCAAAATGACCCAAATAAGGCAAAAACAAAATTTAACTGAAAATTAAAAATTAAACAAAAATTTAAGTAAAAATTGTTTCAAATTCTCTCCTTAAGGAGATTAAAAAGTAAAAAATCGTTGAGGAAATTTAAAAAAGAATTGCTCGGCGTAGGAAAAACATGTAGAAAAACACAGCCAATTTCCGCGTCAAAAATTAATGCGCTAATTTTGTGGATAGATGAAAATTTGTTTTTTTGTACAATTCCGGGAGAAAATGCAAACTTGCGTGAATTATTGGGTGTAAAAACAAATAAGGATTTAATTGGATTAGAAAAGTGAAATAAAGTCCAATATTGAAGAGAATAAAATTGGAGTTTATGTAGTAGAGATCGAGCTGGGTCTAAAGCAAGGCCTGGGTTTTTCCTGTACCCAAAGTCCGGCCCTAGGTATTTTTTGACCTTCTTGGGTCAAGACATAAAGTAGCACTACTGTTGACTGGGGCTTCGACCAAAATTTTCTTCTGTTCGAAAAAGTCTTGGTATAAAAGCCGACTTTAAATAGAATACTATAAAAGCCTTCTACTTTCATCATTCTACACCAATCAACATAATTTCTTCCTCACAGCAAGTCTTCGAGCATCTCTACAAACAACAACAAAGCATCAAGGCGCCATGTTCTTCTGTTTCGACGACGGATCTGGAACGAAAAAGGCTTCGACAAATACACGTTCGGCTACCACCATCTTGCCGATGTTCTTTGCTTCGACTCTCTTCGTTTTTGTACTGGTTGGACAGGTTAACAGTAAGGAGTGCAATGGTCCTGTTGGATTCTACGATCACACTCTGAAGGATTGTCATGTCACGCTCGACAAAGATTCCGTCGCTGTCGAAGCAGGAGACGTCTACAACCTTACAAGGTACACGAATAAGTCGGGATCCTGTGATGTTGAAATCAAGAATGGAAGCATGTGAGTTTCTTCACGCTTTTTTACATCTTTGAAACAATTTTCGTTCTTTTTCAGTGTGCTCTACTACAAGAGGGAAAACGGAAAGAACATAAAGGACGAGGGCTGCGTTGTGGATCTGCTCACCAAGCTTCCGAAGATGGTCAAGTTCAAGACTGGAGTGAGAAGTAAACCGGATGACTGCCTAAAAAATTGTTCAGGCCATATTTTTGATGGTGCTAGTGCAAATCTGTTAGTTTTCATTCCTTCAGTAATTTGGCAATATATTTTATTTCTTTTTAGCCTTCCATTCGCCTACAGTTTAACAGAGAAGAAGAACGTCACGAAACTTAAGAAAGGACAGCTCTCTGAAAGAAATAAAAAGGATTGCAATAACCACAATTTTTGTGGCGATGAACAACTTTGCATGCCATGGACTTCTCTCGAGGTTGCTTGGAACAAATGCTTTTTTGAGGATGGCAAATATCCTATATTTGCTCACATCCATCCAAGTAAGGCAAATAAATCCTTGTTTTTTAAGCATTTGTTTTTTAGTTGGCGAGAAACTGGCGAAATGGAGTATAAAGGATCTTAATGGTTCTGAAGAATTTGGGTTGACGATAGAGGAAGGCGGCTTCTCCATGGATTTGAAAGGAAAATCGAGCGGCGACTATAATCTAACCGATAAAGATCCTGAAAACCATCCATACTGCGTTCTAAAAGGAGAAGGCTTTATCAAACCTGTGGCTTGGAAAATCAATGGGACGAATCCGGCTCCAGGATATGATCATCTGCTTGTCTTCTATATGCTTCCACAGAACGCTTCTCGAAATCACAGCAAAGGCGAAATCACAGACAAATCTCCTGATGGTCCAAAATGTGAAGAACTCTACATTGAATTTGTAAGGAATTTTTAATTTTTTGTAAAATCCAATCAAAAATTTCCTTTTTATTCAGGACATGCAGAACTACACTCTTTTGTCTGTTGGCGATCCACCCACCACTACCACCACCACCACAACGACTACAACACTGCCAACGACCACCACTTCAACTGCCGCCACATCAACATCGACTACTGTAAAGACGACGAAAACAACAACAACGGAAAAGCCTAAACCTCAGGATTCTCTCTTTGGGCCTACAGTCATCTTTATTGGAATTTTTGTCGGAATTGTTGTTATTATCTCTGGTGCAGCTATGGTCATTTTTCTCTTCATGCGGGTAGTTTGTGATTATATGTAGAGCGATAATAGAGTATTTTCTTTTTCTTTTCAGGCTAAGAAAAATAGGGCAAAATGGGAGAACGATGATAATTCGAAGATCAGCTCGGAAAAATCAAAGATGGAGGCCGCGGAACATTTGAAGATGGGCGGGAAATCGGAGGAGGCCGAGGCAAAGATGGAGGAGAAGTCGAAGATGGAGGAGGGCAAAGCAAAGATGGAGGCCACGGCAAAGATGGAGGAGAAGTCGAAGATGGGGGAGAAATCGAAAGTGGAGGAGGACAAAGCAATGATGGAGGCCACGGCAAAGGTGGAGGAGAAGTCGAAGATGGGGGAGAAATCGAAAATGGCGACCACTGCGAATTCGATGATGGAGACCAACTCGAAAATGGAGGAGGAGGACAAGTCGAAGAGCAGCCAGCAGGAATGATGAGAGGACAATAAAAGAAGCTATAAGTGTTCCAGAGAAGAAAAAAGATGTGTGATTGTTGAAGAGAAAGCTCAAAATAATAATTGTTGTTGTTGTTGTTTTCCCTCAAAAATATATTTGTACCTATTTTCCTATATTGCCTTCTATACCTATATAATTACCCAAACATTTTGTTGTATAGTATTTGTTTCCAGTAGTTAACTAGACCCCAATCGCTCCACATACCCAAATCGCTCACCCCATTTGATGAACTGTCACATCAACCTGAGCCTATAGGGGGTATTTTCTTTTGATTTTGCCGACAATCCTATGGGATTAAAGGGGTTTTAAGCCCATTAATCATCATTATTTGTTTTGGAACAACCCAAATCGCTCACCTCATTTATCACCTGTCACATCAAACCTGAGCCTATAGGGGGTATTTTCTTTTCATCTTGCCGACAATCCCGTGGGTTTAAAGGGGTTTTAAGCCCATTAATCATTCTTCAGGTGATTAATTACCCATTAGTTTGTTTTGGAACAACCCAAATCGCTCTCCTCCGGAAATTCACTCCTTTTGATGCCTTTTTTTATTTAATTATGCCGCCGAACTACACCTACTGAAGAAGGTCATCGGTAATTAAGGAGGGCAATTAATCATATTTAAAATGATTAATTACTTTTGAAGGTAAAGGGCGATGACAGCTTTCAAATAAAAAGTACCTTTAAGAAAATCTGGGTGGGTAATCGAAAATGATCGGTAGTTAGAGAACATCTGGGATAAGTACTAATAGAGAAGTTTAAAAGCGAAATAGTGCGAAATGTTGGACTCTAGAGTCTCAGTTCATTTTTTCAAAGTTTGTCCAAAATGACCGGAAATACAAATGCAAGAAGGGTTTAACTCATTATTTCGAAATACCACTTTCAAAATGTCAAATGACAAAATGCCACTTTCAAAATGCCAGGTGACATAATGCCAACTTTCAGAATGTAAAGTTCCAAAATTCCAAGGGCCAAAATGCCAAACGACAAAATGCAAATCTCAAAACGTCAACTTCAAATTACTTATTGGATGGAATTTTGAATTTAAAATCTTCTATAGATTTCGTATACTGTGAATTTTAGTCTGGGGCTGGAATATTTGAGTCTGATAATTAATTAAAAATGAAAAATATTAAAAAATATATTAAATAAAAATAAATGCGGAGAAATAAAGTTTAGAAAATTTTACAAAAAATTTTAAATGATTTGCAAAATTGCCGCAAGTCAGAATGTAAGGGGAACTAACCGATTATTTTAAAATGTCAAATTTAAAAATGTCAACTTTCAAAATGTAAAGTGACAAAATGATACACTTCGAAATGTCTATTTAGTGTCTTGTCTTCCATTAATTAAAACTTATTATTATTATTAAACTAATAAAATATGATTGTTAATCAAAACTTGAACACCATTAATTAATTCGAATTATTCTATTTTACAATTTATCCCAAATTTCTCTATTTAAAATTTTGTTCGTCAAATTTACGAAGATTAATTTCGTATTTTTACTAAATAAACTTAAACTAAATATGGTTCATATTCCCTTTGATCCGCGTACTATCGGATATGATGATCATCATACGGCTTTCAGTCAAATAGGAGGAGGGATTGATGAAAATTATTATTATTTTCGCGGACTTGATCCTTATCAGCGTGGATACGGAAGACAAACGGGTGGTGGAGTTGGAGATGTACTTAGAAATTTTTGGCGTTTCCTTTTACCTTATGCCAAACGAGCGGGAACAGCT